CCAAAGTTATGCTCAGGTTGCGCAGGGACTGGCCCGCACGAAGGAATTAAAACTGAAAAGCGAAGTTTCAAGGCAAGTGAGAAAAAAGCTTCCAGCCAACGGAGCAGAGCCAGCCAGAACGTGGCTCCGGCCATGCGAGCATGCAGCTCGGCCCAAGCGTGCTGCTCGGACAAGCCTAGCTTGGAGCAAGCGTCATGATCGTTCAAGACGTGTTGGCGCGGCAGAAAGAAAAAGGCCGTGGCAAACATGTGATGTGATCATTTGAGACACCTCTTCTGTTGTCTGCGTCCCATTGTGTAGCGGGCCGTTGGCAGGTTTTTTCGTGCTAGGCTTCTGGTCTAACAACCAAGGCTTGTGTTATGATCTCGGTGGGTTTGGTGGTCTCGCAACAAGCCTTGTGGCGGGTCACCCAAGTTGGGGCACGGGGAAGTGCAGACCATGGGGAAGCGCAGGCCGTGGCCAACATGTGACCGTTTCAAAGATCGAGTCCGTTGTCAGCATCTCTTTGTCGGTCCACCTGTCTGTCTAGCAGGCTGCCGAGAGTTTGCTCGTGGTCCACCTTCCCGCCATTTTGCACCCATTCCACACATACCCATTTTCCATCCATGCTCCATCAATATTCCAGCCATATTCCACCTATCTTCCAGTCATTCCATCCCTGCGAATCCATGAATTCCCACATGTCCATTCGCTATTCATTCTCCAGCCATTTTCTAGCAATGTTCCATCAACGGCCTATCCTTTTACCATGACGGTGCAGCAATTTTATTTTCCACGAATGCACCATCCATCCATTGTCCATCAATGTCCCATCCATTGCCCATTCATTTTCCATGAAGTGGCACCAATTTTCCACACATCGGCCAGCAATTTTCCGCAAACTTTCCATCAATTTTCTATCAATGTCCATCCACATCTTCATTTCCCCACCAACCCCCTTCACCGTGGACAACATCCCCAGCATCCCCACCCCCTGCATCGACTGCATCATCCGAAGCAATGTCCGCCATGGATGCTCAGTTGTTGCTCCCTGTTGCAATCCGTTTTCCATTCATGCCAGCAATGCCTTGTCCAGGAACTTTCCATCAATCCTCCACACCTTTTCCATCATCCCTTGTCCCTCCAAATTCCTAAATATTTTCATCAACGCCCCTTCATTTCCATCAATTTTGCAGCCTTTTTGTCCATCCTTTTTGTCCGGATGATGCAGGTGCTGCAAGGATGGTGTCCACTACGGGCACCCCCCCAAAAAAAACAACAACAAAAAAACACGCTCGGTTTTTTGACCCCGCACGGAAATTATCATTTCCTTTTCCTTTACTTCCTGCTAGTTCCCGGGATTTGAACTTCATTTCCGTTGCATGTCATGCAGTTTCCTGGCATTTCCCTGCACTTCCTTTCGCTCATGTCAGCTCCCTTCATCTCCTTGAACGCCCCTTCACTGCTCGCACTCCTTTCCTTCAGTTTCTCTTCGCAACAATTTCTTTTCGTTCCCATCCTCCGGCTCCCTTCGCGTTCTGCCTGCATTTTCCAGCATTTTGTTTCCTCTCCAGTGCCTTCTTCATGCTGTTTCCCTTGCATTTCCCCTAAGCCCCTTGTTTCGCATCGCCAGCATGCATAGCATCATCCGCATCATCCGGGATGATGCTGGCAATGCTGGGGGTGTTGTCCAGTATTAGGCACCCCCTAAAAATGCTCGTTTTTGGACGCTGCGGGGAGATGCTACAAAAATCGCCTAAACCAATCCGCAAATCCTTCGCCCCTTATAAGGGAGGGCCCAGCGCAAAACGTATGCGCATGGTCCGCGCATGGTCGGCGGCATGGGGCGCGCGGCCTTATACCTGAAGGTAAGCCCTAACGGGCTTTGGCCTGCGGCCCGATCACGTCCGGTGGCTGCCGCCCAGTGCCGCCGACCCCTGGATTTAGTTGTGGTTTTGGAGCCACAGTGCCCTTGGTTTTGGTTTCTTTGGTTTCTTTTGGGTGAAATGTTAGTGGCCCCAAAAGGCTAATCTTGTATTTCAGGGTTTTGTTTGCATTTTTGAAGACACGAACAGGGACTGTGACTTGCTGGGCAACAAATGATCCCTGTCATGATCACTATCATCGTAGCATCCTATTGCCAAGGGTGCCTAGCGATGATCATGACTACGCATCACTATCGAAACGGCACCTCGCCTCAGATGCCATTTGTGTCATTGAGATTTGGAGTCCTGCCTTGATGATAATCATCACTACGCATCATTCGCAGCATCTGTGGGCGGCAGCCCTTGAACAAGAATGAGATGATGATGAGCATCATGATGATGATGAGAAGAGCGATGACATCATAATAAGGATGATCATGACAGTGCCGGCTACTAAGAGACGATGATGACCATGATGATTACGATGACAAGGATGAGGGCTGTGATGATATATATCATCGTAGCATCCTCGGCATCATCAGAGATGATGATGACCATGGTGATGATAACTATCATCGTAGCATCCTCTGCATTACCAAGGGGGTCTAACGTTACTTTTGAAATGCATATAAGAATAAGAATAAGAACAAGAACAAGAATGAGATCATGATGATCATCATGATGATGATGAGAAGAGCGATGACATCATAATAAGGATGAACATGATGATGATTGTGATGATAACTATCATCGTAACACCCTTTGCATCACCAGTGCTGCCTAATAAGAGATGATGATGACATCCTCGGCATCACCAGTGCCGGCTAATAAGAAATGATAATAACCATGATGACAGTGATGATAAGTGTGATGATAAGTATCGTCGTAGCATCCTTTGCATTGCCAATGGGGTCTATCGTTACTTTTGAAACGCAAATAAGAATAAGAACAAGAATGAGATGGTGATGATCATCATGATGATGATGAGAAGAGCGATGACATCCTAGTAAGGATGATCTTGATGATGGTTATGATGATAACTATCATCGTAACACCCTTTGCATTACCAGTGCTGCCTAACAAGAGATGATGATGACATCCTCGGCATCACCAGTGCCGGCTAATAAGAGATGATAATAACCATGATGATAGTGATGATAAGGATGAGGACTGTGATGATAAATATCGTCGTATCATCCTCTGCATTGCCAATGGGGTCTAACGCTACTTTTGAAATGCATATAAGAATAAGAACAAGAATGAGATGATGATGATCATATTGATGATGATGAGAAGAGTGATGACATCATAATAAGGATGATCATGATAATGATTATGATGATAACTATCATCGTAACACCCTTTGCATCACCAGTGCTGCCTATGATGATGATCATCATGATGATGATGAAGATGATGATGATTATGATGATAACTATCATCGTAACACCCTTTGCATCACCAGTGCTGCCTAATAAAAGATGTTGATGTCATCCTCGGCATCACCAGTGCCGGCTAATAAGAGATGATAATAACCATGATGATAGTGATGATAAGGATGAGGACTGTGATGATAAGTATCGTCGCAGTATCCTCTGCATTGCCAATGGGGTCTAACGTTACTTTTGAAATGCATATAAGAATAAGAACAAGAATGAGATGATGATGATCATCATGATGATGATGAGAAGAGCGATGACATCATAATAAGGATGATCATGATGATGATTATGATGATAACTATCATCGTAACACCCTTTGCATCACCAGTGCTGCCTAATAAGAGATGGTGATGACCGTGATGATACTGAGGACTGTGATGATAACTATCATCGTAGCATCCTCGGCATCACCAGTGCCGGCTACTAAGAGACGATGATCCTCGGCATCACCAGTGCCAGCTAATAAGAGATGATGATGACCATGATGATAATGATGACAAGGATGAGGACTGTGATGATAACTATCATCGTAGCATCCTCGGCATCACCAGCGCCGGCTAATAAGAGATGATGATGACCTGATGCTAGTGATGATAAGGATGAGGACTGTGATGATAAATGTCGTCGTAGCATCCTCTGCATTGCCAATGGGGTCTAACGTAGGATCCTCGGCATCACCAGGGCGGCCCGAGACTTACCCCACGGGCCCAGTATCCCTAGCACTCCTTGTGCCGAAAAGTAAGGGCTCATTTTTTGAGATAGCGCCCCCTGCGCCCAAGCCTAAATGAGTCCCCTGTGTGGCAGCTACAATGGGCCAGAGCGGGGCGTTAAGCCCCAATCTTCAGGGGCCGGGGGGGGCAGTCATCATGATCATCATGTCCACGCAGCTTTTGCATGTCAAACCCTCTCTGACGCCACAATTGAAACGTATATCAAAAAATAAGGATGATGACGAGAATGATGATGTTGAAAGATATAGAAATGATGATGATGATGTTGACGATAAGAATGATGAAGGATCATATCGATGATGATGATGATGATGGGCATCCGTATGATGCCAGTAGTCATATGCTTGCCTCAAAGATTAACCCATGCGCTTGTACTGCAACCACCCTTCCCGTGCGCCTCCCCCTTTGAGGAGAAGGGGTCGGCGGATTTCCAAGTCCCAAGGCTACTTGGCAAAGGCCAGCAAGCGGATGCTTTGCCTGCTTGCTCTCTTGAACACTGGCATGGAACTTCAGAAGGAACAGAGGCACAACCTGGTTCTATTCCAGGAGTCCAGGTTTACCTGCGGGTGTTCTGGTCGCGCGGGAATGTGCCTGCTTCCAGCTAACGTAAACCTGGTTTTGACAGACCTGACGTCAGTCAAGTCTCCGAGTGTACTTTGTACCGTGAACACTGAGAGGCAGTTTTTGCAACACCTCGAGGGTAGGTTTTTGAGGGCCTGCTTGGTATTGCGAAAGGCAGACCTTCAATGCCCATTGCTTCAAGCTATGGATAAATGGATATACATACATATAGAGCGGCCAAAACCCCCTCTTGGTTTTTTTGGGAGCAAGGAATATTGCACAACCCTCATATATACATATATGTATATGCATAAGAGTGGAAGCGCATGCCCCCCCCCCTCCCATCGCTCCCAGTTTCGCAGGCGTCTCAGCAGCAGGCGGCGGAGCGGCGGGAGGCCTTCTGCGCGCGCGGCGCGGAGCGGGGGGCCGCGGCGCGGTCCAAAGTCTCCGCGGAGGTGCTGCTCCGGGCGGAGGAGGCGAGAGATCGAACACCAGGGTGTGGAAAGGGGTGGTTTGCGCTGTGACAAAAGGCGGTTGGGTGCTGAATTCATGGACGCACGGAATTCTTGACCTCTGCTCACTCCCTGAGTTTTCCGCTTCGGACTGCAGAATCATCAGCTTACAGGCGGTTCGACCAAATGTGTGGTTTAGTTTCCATTTGGACCGCAACTTGTTTGCCACCAGGGTGGGATCAATCGGAAGCTCAAACATGAGTGGGTGTTGGGAGGCTGGGGTTTGGTGGCTTGTTGTGGGGCTTGAGTTTAGGGGTGGGGGCTGGGGAGGTGGATTCGTGCGGTGTCCTCACATGCACCCTCTTTGGAACAATTGCAAGCCACAAAATGGGAAATGTCAACCCACAAAATGCCATTACTTCGAAAGAGTTGCCCGGTGCTTTCCCCTTCTTGGTTTTAAAGGGGGTTGCTCAGTTCTTCCAGCGGCCGAAAAAATAATAAGAAGAAGTTAGTTGGTCAAATTCCTCTACCAGAGGAAACCACGCAAAAAGTCACTGACCACTACGGGAGCAGAAAAGCAAATGAAAAAGTGCTCTAGGGGTTGATTCCCCATTCTTTTCCAACCATGAAACCGGATCCGTTTCTTCTGGGTTTTGGATGGTTTCCTGAAAAGATTCGGATCCCTGGGAGAATGGACATGGAAGGTACCCCAAAGGTTTTTCTGGGCCCAGGGATCGCGAACCCTTGGGCTCAGGATGCCGCGCAGCTGAGATTGGAGCTGCAAAGCGCTGAGTCGGAGCTGCAGGAGCGGCCAGAACGTTGGCTTGGAAAACGTGTGTGCTTTAACTTTGCATGTGAGGACTTTAACTTTTTGCCAACTAATGGGTTTTCCGTGTGAAACAACTAAACGTTAAACTTTTAGCAGGGGAGCAGAAAGCAACCGAGTTAAATTACATGTGGGTGTGTCACTTAAAAAAGGGGGGAAGACGGGTTCCTTTGAAACCACTCCCAAAAAGGAAAGGCGCCCTGCATGTGTATATGTATATATGTAAAGAGTGGTTCTGAAGGGTTCACGGCGAAAGGAACAGCCTAGCATCGCGAAAGGCCGGCGATTGGATGAGATCGAAACTGGGGGCCGCTTTACAGGATGGCGAAAGGCCGGAGAAACGGAGGTTTCCAGGCACCGTTTTCCCATACTCTGAACCGCCATGTCTTGTTGGTGCTCAGTAGGGGATGCTTGGTTGTTGTCGGATGCCCACACGTTTTATGTACTTTCATTTGGTTAATAAGTTTATTCTCATATTATGGTTTTTCCCTTGTGGGATCCTAAAGGGGATCTTCCCTTGTTCCAACAATCACGGAAGTGGACAAAGTTCCACAAAAGGACATAGTCTTCCAAAGCCCTTCCATGATTGTTGAAGGGACAAGGCACTGGGGTTCAAACCCCCAACCCACCAATCCAAACCACCAAATACAGGGAAGCTACAAGAGGGCCCATGACTGTGTCCAGGTTGAGGGGGCTTGCACTTGCACTTGCAAGGAACCATCATCTAAATGGGTTGCGCGTGCCTTTCAACGTCAATGCTTCCGTATTGCTTATGTCAGCTTTGTTATTCGGCGTGCTTGTCTTTTGCCGTTTGCCTATTGCCTACAACGCTTAGTCTTCATTTGTTCACTGCCACCTTCAAGTTCTTGTGGAAGATGGTCAAAGTCGTCGTATCCCCCCTAGTGTTTTGCTCGTTGCAGCAGGCCAAACAAGTCAAAGAGACACTACTTTGGTGCACGTTGCTTGGATGTTAGGACTTTAACTCTTTGTCAACTAGTGGGTTTCCCATTAAACCACCAAAAGTTGGTCACTTTTAGCAGGGGAGCAGAGAGCAACCAAGACTATATATTTGCCTTGTATGCTGTCAACTTTACCTCCGCCTCGAGAAAAACAAGCTCATCTCAAAGCATTCAGACCCAGTCCTCAGTCACCGTTGGGATGTCTTCTCCCAGTGCGGGTAATACCTTGGGTGGTCTCACCACAGACATCGTCCTTCATTGGGGCCGGCCAACTGACGACACGATTCCACCGAGCAAAATGTGGACCCCAAAAAAAGAGACCTCCCTTGAGCTGGCAAGGGCTTGGCTTTCCTCTAAACAGCATCTAGAAGGGGCCCTGAATTCGAAGAAAACGCTTCCAAGGGTACCTGGGGTTTTGGGGTGGGTTTACTTACAGGAAAGCCACACGGAAAACCACGCGGATGGATCGGTCCGGCTCCTTTCTCGGAGAAGTCTGACAGGAGATGCGCCAAAAGTTGGCAGCGAGCTGGGTGGAGGAAGGCAAGCCGGGTTTGTCTGAAAATAGGGCCCCCCAAAAAAATATGGTCATCGAGTTTCCATTGCTTCCCCTTGAAAGTCATCCAAAAAGGGGCCACCAGTTTTGAGACAGATGGCACCAAGCTCCTGGAACCGTCCCTCTGAACAAACGGCTCCGATCGGCTACCAATCGGACCGCCGTCCTTGTGGGACTTGTTCGAACTGCCAGTTCTTTGGTGCATTTTGCAAAGGCATGTTGTGACTTTTACTTTTTGCCAACTAATGGGTTCATTAAACCACTAAAAGTTAGTCACTTTTTCGCATGGGAGCAGAAAGCAATCGAGAGTTGATACCCTAACGAGGACGGGTGCTGGAAGGCTTTCGGCTTTCGGCTTTCGCAGGTGTGGTGACCATGGGTGATGACCTCGAGAACCTCGAGGCGTGCTGTGTGGCAATCACATCTGCTGATCCCCCACACTGAAGGGCCCTGAAACGGGTTTTTTGGCGAGTTGGTAGATGGCATGTTCATATGCTTCCATTTGCTTCAGGAAAAGTGCTTCTCCTTTTCCCCGGTTGGGTTTAAAGGGAATCGATCACTCTGGGAAAGTACGTGTATTTTTTTGCCCGGGGGCTCCTCGCAACTCGCAAATGGAAGCCTGGGGGCCTCGAACCCCCTGGTCTTTTGGAAGCAAGACCATGTGGTAGTTGGCCTGCGGGTAGCTCGAGTCCCTTTTTTTTCTGGACTCAAACCGAACCCCCAAAAGCGCGTTGCGCGGTGTTTTGTTTTTTGGTCTCCGAGCAAAACAACAACTCAGTTGCACACAAGGTTAACCTTTTATTTCCAACTCCTTTGGGCAAGTGAGACATGAGCATCAGACTTGTGGAAAGAGGCCCAGTTGAAAGACAAGCCGTTGACAGCCTTCCAATGGCACGCGCTCTCTCTCGGGAGCGCGGTGTGGATGTGTGGATTTGTTTTTTTGACTTTTTGCAGGAAACCTCCCCCTAACCACCAAACCACAAATCCAGAAGCTGGTTTGTTGCTTGTGCTGCACAGATTTGCAAGATCACTCGCGCACGCTTTTGATCTACACGTGGCTTTGTGACACTGCGAGAAATTTCGTGCAGGCGGTTGCCAGTATTGGGTAAAGTTGTGCACAACTGGAATCAACTAGAGCATGGTTCCAATGTGCGGCTGAATTGCCAACACATTGACAAATTGGTCCAGAGTTGAGCGTTTTTGGGTTGATTCAGATTGGTAGTTTTTGTGCCAAGATACTTTTTCAGAGGAAATCCCAGAAAGCCTTTATTCCCGGAACTGTGCATGGGATTTATTGGCCGGTCGCGTGCACGCAGCCCGAATTGCCTAAACCCACAAGGCCCATGTTCCACTTACATAGTACCTCAGGTACTCCTCTGGTTTGAGGCCAAAAGGGGAAACGCATTTGCAGAAGCAACGAGCTTACCTAAGGCTACATTCATGGTGAATGCCCATGACCGCATTATCTCCGCCCCGGGCGTTTTTGTGGGCATCCTGGTCGTGCTTTTCGGCGTTCGCTTGAGGCCATGGAGCGCAATCTGCAGTGGCTGGCGCACACGCAGCAGGAGACCTGAGCTCGCACGGGCCACGACGCCAAGCCACGGCCGCCTGTGTTTCTTCATGGTTGTTGGGAAACATTTCACATTTTTTGCTTATTGTGGTTCAGTGGGAAATCCCCACTTAGCTGCTAAAACTTATTTTTTTGCTCCCCTTCCAACGTCAACCAAGGTTTGTCCACGGACGGTTTGAGGCCAAGGGGTCAAACCACAAGGCAGCCGTTGAGGTAGCTGGCGGTTCGCTGACCGGCTTGGAGGTAATTCCTGAATACATGCAAAGAGCACACAGCACATATATATATATATATATGTATATGTGCTTTCGCGCCATGCGAAGCTCGCACACACGCACACACACACACAGCAAATTGATATATGCACACACACACACAGGTCGCATGCAAAACACGCATACGTTCACACACACACACACAACACACACGCAACCACACTCATCACATATACACCACACACACACCTACAACACACACGCACATATACATATATATATATATATATGCATACATATATATATACATATAAATACACCCTACACACAGCACACGCACGCACACAGACACAGACACAACTGCACAGTTGTTTCGTTTGATTTGAGTGTGTGCTTGTGCGTGCGTGTGGTTGGTGTGTTTGTGTGTGTGTGTGTGTGTTGTGTTGTGTTGTGTTGTGTTGTGTTGTGTTGTGTTGTGTTGTGTTGTGTTGTGTTGTGTTGTGTTGTGTTGTGTTGTGGTGTGGTGTGGTGTGGTGTGGTGTTGTGTTGTGTTGTGTGGTGTTGTATTGGTGTTGTATTGGTGTCGTGTATTGGTGTCGTGTAGTGTGGTGTGGTGTGGTGTTGTATTGGTGTCGTGTGGTGTGGTGAAGTGTGATGTGGTGTGGTGTGGTGTGGTGTTGTGTGTGTGCGCGTGATTGTGCATGTGTTTGTGCGTTGTTGTGTTCGCTGTGTGTGTGTTTTGCGTTTGTTGTGCTAGTTTGTTTGTTAGCTTGCTTGTTTGCTGTGTTCCTTGGTTGTTTGTTTGTTTGCTTGCTTGCTTGTTGTCTTGTTTGTGGTTTCCCTTCAAAGCTCACTTCCTGAGTTCATGAACTTTAAACTTTTTGTGAAGACCATTTAGTGGTAAATATAAAGTTTGGACTTTTTTGGGCCATCCGCCAGTGAGCAAAAGCTCCCCCACCACCCCACGTCTGACGCCACCTGGACGGCCGCAGGAGGCGGACGTGCAGAGCTCCGCAGGCGAGCGGCTGGAGCGTCGGCAGCAGGCGCTGCAGCGAAGGCTCCGGGAGCTGAACGAGGAGAAGGCCAACTTGGCCTCGGCGCGGGTGGCGGCCCGGCGAGGATTGGCGCCTTCCGTGCCTCCGGGGTGAGGGAGCAAAGAACAACTTTTTAGGCATCTGTCTTTTTTGGCTCAAGGGTGGATTGACCATCTCTTGGGATCAACTGGCTGTATAAATTGCATCCTGGGGGTTCAAATATCTCTGTCAAAAGGGGAAATATATTTGGAACCCTGGCGTGGGCGAGGCTAATGGGACTTGCAACCCAGCAAAAGCACCTGGCTGGTCTTTGTGACCGAATAGCCCCCGAAGAGACCTTTTGCACATTCTTTTTTGCATTGGTCCTACAGAAGCTTAGGCCTTTTGCTCGGGGGGGAAGTCGCAAACAGAGAAAAAGGGAGCCTTCTGCAAGAGGAGATTGCGCTAAAGACTTTGGAGGTTCTTGGGGTTCATGAACCTTGAAACGTTTCAACAAAATGTTCAGGGATTGAGATGACAATCCAAAAATGTATCATCCGGAGGGTGTTTTTTTGGCTCGGAAACCAAAGGGATACCAACGGTGTCGGGCCACTTAGGAGCACGTGATTGTGAGACAAAGCCAGGCTTGTTGGCATTATCGGCCAGGAGTCCGTAAAGTTAACCTGCTTCAAAGCTAAACCGGGCTCAACTGGGTCCCGGTCCAGGGTAACATGAGCTTCATGGAAAGGGTTTGGATTTATTTCTTCCAGTGAATCACAGTTGTTCTCTCAGAAGTCCATGTAGGTTTGAGCTTTTTTGACTAGGACATGCGCCCTGGGGGCACGTGGCCGAGCATCCGCAGTGTTGATCCTTTTGCTTCAGGAGTTGTACCCCAGCATGAATATGCGTGCAGGTTGACTGTTTTGCGCATTTGCAGTGTGCGCAAAGAGGACAACTTGCGTCTAGAAATTTCAGAGCGAAGCGGGCAGTGAGCCCAATGCGATAGCAAAGCCCCCTTCTGCCAGCCACCAGAACATATGGCATTCTCCTTGGGAGAGTTGAAAGTACTTTCCAGCACCTCCCATCCTGCAACCAAGCTGCAAGAGCTGTCCTGGAGGTTCTGTTTTTGTTTTTTCTTTCGGGCAAGTCGTGAAGTCCGGAGCTTCAGGAGTCCCCAATCAGGTTTTGGACAAGGAAGACTTTGCGGATCTGCGCAATGTGTTTTTGTGGGAATCTGCATTTGAGAGGATTCTGCAGTCTGAAGCTCCTGGACAAAAGCTGCGCATAAAAACCAAACGGGAGCCACTTTATTTTTGGGTGCGAACTTAGGATCTCGGAGATGCGGGCAAGGCCATGCGCGAGATGATGGCCTCACAGCTCCTCGCCGTTGTTTGCGGGTCCGTTCCCGGGAGAAATGCTAGGTCCCCCCAGCTACGTGCCCTTTTAACCCCTTTTTTGGTTGGGAGGGTTCCCCTACTAAAGTAGACTACCAGATAAAACAATCGGGTACCCTTATTCTAACCTGTCTACTGGAGGACCTAGAATGAGCCTTGAAGGAGTCTGCCAGTAGTCTAAGGGTTAATTCCTTGTCCATTCTTTCCAACAATCTACTTTTCGTTTTAAGAAAGAAGGATCTATGAGAATGGAGAAGGTAGCACTAGAAGTAGAAGTTCACATTGGAACCCAGAGCACGGCGTCCCCCAAAAGGAGATTTTGCGATATTCCGAAAATGGCCGGGTTTTTCGGGTTTGAATCTGGGGAGTATGAATGTTCATGTGTCACCTTACTCTCCATTGGGTGGATTGGAAGTGAAGCCCTGGCCCTTTTGGAGGGCAAATGAGCGGCTGGCGTATTTGCTCAGTTTGCTTCAAGTTGTTTTGGGGGCATGGCAAAGCAGTGAGCCGCTTATTTGCCCCCACGGGAAAACAAAGGCTGTAAACGTAGAAGGCACAACCAGCCCTCTGAGCATATGGCGAGATATTCAGTCAGCTTATTAGAATTAGAGGGGAGGTGTCACCATTGCTTCCAAGATTGTTGCGTGGGTTGACCCGGGTGAAAGTACATGACACGAATTCCTAATGCGGGCAAGCAAGCGGAACGACGAAGTGTGGGCATCTACTTTCACCCAGTTGTAAACACTTCTGGATTTGGATTCATGGCGAGGCATGACGTTTACCCTGGATTTCAAAAACATATTCTGGCACTCATTTCCCCAAAGCCGACCTTTTGCCCTTTCTGTTTCCCCTGGTTGGTCCATTTTTCGTCACGGCCTTGAGACAACTGCAACGCATGTGTTGGTACTTCGCGTTCAACGAGCCAAGCTCCATGCGAGGTTGGAGGACCTGTATGCGTCCCCATAGCCGGTCCAGTTTCCAGATTCAATGAGGAAGGGCAGACTGAGGGTTGCATAAGCAGTTCTGCGTCCATCATTCTGTCTTGCCGTACTTTGGCCCCCTCATCTTTCCACTGGGTTCCCATTGAGGGAGAAGCAATAAGTTTCCCTTGGCAGGTTCTCCCACCATATCCTGTTTTCATCAACCAGTTCATGAATCGGTGAGCGAGATCCCTTGCTTGGGATGGGTTTTCTCTTCACCCTCCCTCCCTGAAATGCTGCTCCACCTGAGACACCCTATACGATGATCCCCTGTAAATACTGAAGCAAACACGTTGCTTTCCTTCCCATGGTGTTTCATGTTTTGTTTTTCTTTTCTTTTTTCTCGATTTGAGGAGGTCGCCGCCATTTTCACCCCATGTTGTTTTTGTTCCTTTCCCGGTGTCTTTTTTTTGGGGGAGCTCGCAGCCACTTTCACAGGTTGTCCCTCCCTATCCCCACCTCTCCCGGACCGTGGGACCAACTCCCTCTGACATCGCAGGTCCGAGGGCTACGTGCGGCACCTCACGGGACTTCAGGCCTCCCGGAAGCTCGCCTTCTCGGACCGCCTGAAGCTGATGCAGGACGTTAAAAAAAAAACGGCTCTGGAGAACGGCTGGAGAGAAAAGGACGTAAAAACCAACACCCCACGGCTGGAGAAGAGGGAGAGAAACAAAAAGCAAGCACCTCTTTGCATAGGCGGCTCCCTATTTGGTTGATTTGCTTGAAAAATAGGTTGGGCACCCCTTTGCATAGGCTGTCATATAGCCGGGAGGCTTCCAGAGAAAACCACTTGTTGTTTTTTTTGTTTTTCTAGCGTCTACCCTTGCTCTCTTTTTTGTCTACTGGACCTAGTCATGGAGAAAAAACCACGCACCTCTGTAGGTTGTTGGTTTGGGTCGTGATCCGGTTCCGTAGGTCTGGTTGTTTGGGTTGGCTTAGTGCTTGGAGTTCCACTGGAACCAAATGGCCACTTTGAGCAGGGGATCTGAGCCTCAGCCATCTCAGCCCAGGTGTGTGTGTGTCTTTATGGCTAGGGCTGGATCTTTGGACTTGAACTTTTCGGTTGAGTCAGGAACCGGACTTTCCGGACACACAAAATCGGAGTCCACTTTGTAGAGGGGTCGTTATAGCAACCAAGGTGTGCGTGTGTGTGTGTGTCAAAATATGGGCCCAAACAATCATCCAAAGTCGTTGGTTCCCTCTTCTTTGTTCAAACCAACCCCCAAAAAGAAGAGGGCAACGTCAAGAGCACGTGCCACACCCAAATCATGGTTGTTGTTGGGAAACACGTTACATTTTTGCTCACTGTGGCTTAGTGGGAAATCCGCACTTAACGCTAGAATTTAAATCTTTGCGCTCCTTCCAACGTCAACCACGAAATGGTGGTTTCCTGCAACACATATTTGCGATGTCTCAAAAGGGCGCTCCTTGGGGATCCCGATTGAGCCGTATTTTTTGTGTTGGGAAGCCATCCTGGGTGATAACTCGCCCATATGGCTATCAATTTTTCAATAAAGACCCCGCTCGAAGGCGGTTAGTGGGACATGAATCCCACCAAAAAAATGTGTCCATCCAAAAATGCCCCCAATTAAAATCGCACCCATGTTCTCAAAAGGGTTTGCACGCACCGTGTTTGCCGAGCTCCCGAACATCCATCGGAAAATGCAAACAACCCTCCTCAACCATCATACTACCGGTTTTTGGCTCCAAACGGACCAAGAGGGAAGCCGGACATTTTCTGCAGGACTGTGCCGACATGCAGGAGAAACTGGACAAGCTCTCGGCCACCGAGAGCCGCGGAGATCTGCTGCGCGGCCGGCACACCAAGCTTCAGGCGCGCCTTCGCGCGCGCCTCTCCGCGTCGACTCGGAAGAACCCGAAGGCGTTGCTTGACGAGCGACGAGAGGAAGACAAAGGACGATCAGATTGAAGGAACGGCAGCAATTCCTACCCCCTCCCCCAGATGAACCTAAGAGCTTCCAGGCAGTTTTGGAAGACTTGCTTCAATTTACAAGTGAAGCAACGTGGAATCAGGAGGCAATTGCTGCAATTTCTCTGCAGATGAACATGGAACCCAAGAAGCATGAGTTGTGGACTTCATTTACTTAGGAGTATGTGTATTTGTTTTCGCTGTTTGGGTTTCAAAGGGACCCTATCAACCCCACCCCACCCCACCCCACCCCACCCCACCCCACCCACCCCACCCCACCCCCCTTCGGCCTTTTGGGGGGAAGGCCCCGGTTGCTGCAAATACCGCGGCCGCTCCAGGCCACCTGCCGCAGTGTGGCGGAGGAGAGCTCGCGCCTCAGGGCCCGGCGGCTCAGATGCTCACCCGTCCTTTGGGTTTTCGTGTTGGGCCATTGTGGAGCACCCCCCCCCCCCCCGGAAAAATAGAATTATATATGTATATGTATATAGTAACTGTGATGTTGGCTTTGTTGAGCCATTGTGGGGCAGCCGCCTCTTCTGAAAATGCCGCTCGTAACGACGCGAACCCAAGCGCAGACATCAACCCGGTCTTTTCCGCCTTTGCTCGGGGTCCTTTAGAATAAACTGGCAACAAAGATGAAACAAATCTAAAAACATGTACCCTCCTGTCCAACATGGAACCTGGCGTTTCGGAGTTCTGGATTGAACTAGCTTCATTTGAAAGGGACCATTTCTCTGGTGGGTTCATGTGGGTTCCATGTGGGTTCCATGTGTACGGGACAGGAGGGTACAGGAAGATATACAGGACGCCCCCTGTTTTTGCCGGGTTTGTGGCAACAATTTCCCGCAATGCGAGTCGACGGGATCCGACCTTCGAGTTGCCATGGCTTAGTGGCCCCAGAAGTTCTGGTGAACACTGGCGATCTCTGGATCCGTTGAGCAAACGTGGGTGTGGTGCGGATTTTTGTGTTTTTTTTTGGGGAAGGGGGTGGGGGGTGGGGCGCTTTTGAAATTCTGGCGTTGAAGGGACGTCAAACGGAAGCGAAAGACTTTGAGGGGTCCCCCCTTCCTCTTCCCTTCCTCCCTGCTCTTGTTGGGTATACTGCGTCCCGACCAGTAGACAATTTTGGAGAAGTGAACAGGTTTCATGCATGGCTATGGGTCAAAACCCGTACCCCCAGTGAACATCCCAATCCCCACTAAAATAGACTAAAATGGGTGATGCCCCAGCTGGTGATTTTTTGTTGTGATATCCCACCGGCAAGGATTAGGAGATCCTCAAGGCGATATGCCAGATGGTGGTTTGTTGTTGTGAATTGCAGCTCCCAGGACCCTAGAGGCCTTGTGAAAAAAGCTTGCGGCTGTTCGTTTGCGGGAGTGTGGGGGATCCCCCGAACATCACAGCCCACTGTCAGGAGATGAACGCGGCGCTGGGCTCTTTGCTCCTCAGCGAGGTCGCAGAACCCGGCGACAGCTTCCCAACCTGCAATGGCACCTCTTTTCGGTATCTGTCGCATGTGCTTCATTTGAAAACAACATGAAACTACCCAAAGAACGGGTTCCACCGTGGTTCCATTTGTTTGCCTCTTTGGGGAAGTTGGTTTCCAATCGAATTCTACCTTTGAACGCGCAATTTCTGCATTACACGATGCATGAAAAAAGTAACGCATAAATATGTTAAAACCATATATACACATGGTTGTGTTGGGAAGCATTTTACATTGTTGCTTATTGTGGTTTAGTGGTTGAAATCCCCACTTATCTGCTAAACGATTGTTTTGCTCCCCTTCCAATGTCAAGCAAGTATACATGTAATTGTGTATTATGTACATTTGCTTGTGTATATGAATGTGTATCCTTTTGGACTCAGCTTCCAAGGCTTCGACGACGAAAGCCTGGCGGACGTGGCTGGGCGCCCCAGCAAGCCTAAGGGAACAGCCAGGAGGTGGCACTGCGGATGGACGAAATCCGCTTCGCACCACTTTGTTCCATGGGAAGGCATCGTTTGTTGGTATTTACAGGGGGGATCATCATTGCAGGGTTTCTTTGGGTGGTGCAGGATTTCGTCCATCCACAGTATGAACTTCATACGCCATGGCTTTCTATTCGAATCCAGGAGTTGCATGACTTACTCCGGGCCGGCTTGCTTCTTGAATGCAAGGTGCCTTTTGCGGTACATTTTTTCGCACGTTTGGTACCCCCTGGAGAAATATCCAGACATGATTTCCGTTTTTCTGTGGCATCACAGGGTACCCGATTTCCTTTGAAAGATCGAGGGGTGTCCTGTCATTTGTTGCATTCCTTGGTCGAGGGATTGGGTGCGGTCTCACTTTAGAGGGGTACTCTCGTCACTTTGTTGGAGCGGTATTCCCCATTAAACCTATTTTCTTGAGGTTATTTGCTTCGCCGACGTGAAGCGTACGCCAGCAAGTTGTGACGACTCCCTGGTGTTTTCCTTGGCCAGGGTCTGAAAACGCGGTTATCTTTGGACCGGGTTTGCAAACCTTCCACTTGTTTGCCACAGAGAGAAAAGCAGCCTTGCTGCCACAGGGCCAACTTCAAGAGTCTTTCCGGTGAGCCTTTGCCCACATCCGAAACTCAGACACGGCTTGCAAAGAACAGACCCCCTCGGCAGGTGATGCGTGCGCTCGTGCTGATGAACAAACTTGTGCAGCGCCAGGACGAATTTTTATGGGCCGTTTTGGGATCACGTCATCAAACTCAGTGAATTTCCCCACACGCTTAAAACGCATAACTTCACCGTTTTGTTGTGCTATTTGCTTTTGTGTTAGTTGTTTGGTTCTGTTGATATATTTGGGGGGGGAGGGGGGCTGCCAAAAACACAGCTGTTGCTAGTCTTGACCCCACAATCAACCCGAGTTTATTAATAATTAAGGGGGGCTTATTAATGGGAGGTGTTCCCCTCCAAAAGCGGTTTGATTCCCCACATTTCACCAAGGGACACCCCCTTATTAATAAACTGGGGTTGGTTAATACGGGGTCAACATTACCCTACCAAGGCTTGGAAAAGGGTTCCATCAGGGTTGGCTGAGAAGATGGTCCTGTGTGTCAATGGGCGCTTCTGAAAGCTTTCCGTGTGGTTGGTGAATCCACTCTTCCATGTGCTGAAAGGGAAGATTTGTCCCATGGTCCCCTGTTTGGTTTTAAGCGGAAGCTATCGCAGGACATCTTCTTTTCTAATCTTCAGAAAGTGGAAGGACAATTTCCAGCACCATTTGATGGCACCCTGATCACTGATCTCGCAAGGTGATCTGCTTTGGTCTGGTAACTAAGTGATGCGATTGGTCAAAGCCTTTGAGACCAATCCAAAAGATGGTCCTTCCCTTGCCAAGAGCTTGCCCTCAAGTCAACTCCCAGGTCGCGCAACCCATCGCGATGGGGTGATTTGGTTGCACATTTTGAGTCGCAACATCCTTGCGAGGACGCTTGATGGAGAAGTGCACGGCTTGCGGTCCAAACCATGAATAATAGTTGTTTGACCTGGCTATTCACCATCTTGAGTCCTTTTGGAGGGAACGCCTCCTCAAAAAAAGCCGATTCCCCCACATTCCACCCAGGGACATTATCAATAGTAATGACCTGGGGTTAATGAATCCAGGGTTGGAATGGCAAGGTTCTCTTTCCCTCCTTCCCACCGGTCCCCGAAGCATCTAGCGGTGAGTGCCAGTCTGGCTACTGATGTTGCTTAGGTTCAGTTTGTGAGTCACTTCGGGAAAATCCTCCGAACAACTGAAAATGAAATCCCAACAATCCACCACGAGGAGGTATCTCCCTCGAGAACTCCCTTTTTGGGGTGGTTCCACTTGTCTAAAGCGAATCGACTTTGTGACCTTGCGGTTTTCCTTCTTTGGTCCACTTTCAGTCATGGCCCCAAAAGGTTAACCTTTTAGTTCCAGGCTTTTTGGGCAAGTAAGGGTTTCCTTCGTCCTTCCACCCAACAATCCAGGGCCAGCTTTCGAACATATAACCTAGGAGTCCTACCACACAGAGCGGGAGCAACTCGCGGACCGCATCAGACAGCTCCAAAGAGGGGCCTCCTGGCTGTAGATGGGACATGACCTGGACAAAAATGCAATCAGATTCGCATGGGCCGCATGGGTTTCTCAATTTCCCCGATGCATGTTGCAATGGGCGACTAACAACCACAACCACAACCACAACAACCACAACAAGAACAAGAACAAGAACAACAACAACAACAACAACAACAACAACAACAACAACAACAACAACAACAACAACAACAACAACAACAACAACAACAACAACAACAACAACAACAACAACAACAACAACAACAACAACAACAACAAGCAACAGCAACAGCAACAGCAACAGCAACAGCAACAGCAACAGCAACAGCAACAGCAACAGCAACAGCAGCACAGCAGCAGCAGCAACAACAGCAACAGCAACAGCAACAACAGCAACAACAACAGCAACAACAACAACAACAACAACAACAACAACAACAACAACAACAACAACAACAACAACAACAACAACAACAGCAACAACAACAACAACAACAACAACAACAACAACAGCAGCAGCAGCAGCAGCAACAACGACGACACGACGACGACCACGACCACGACCACGACAACGACAACGACAACAACCACAACAACCACAACAACCACAACAACCACAACAACCACAACAACAACAACAACAACAACAACAACAACAACAACAACAACAACGGCCCGCAGGGGGATAATGCCGACGCATGTGCGGGGCCATTTTCCATACAGGCTTTCCGCACACCTTTCCAGCAAAACGCACGAATGTGTTTTTGTGGTTTTTGTTTTTGCGCTATTGCATTCATGATGTGTCTTGCGCATTCATTTGGTCGCCTGTGCAACATGAGCTTTTGCAACTGCAATGCTTGAAGAACGTACTTTTGGTGTCATGTTTGTTCTCATGCGATGGCTACAGAATGTCCCAGAGCCTTGCAGACCATGCTGTGCTGAGCGGGTGCGCTTGAGCGGGTGTGCTTATTGGGTGGCAGGCGTGGGTTTGCGGAGCGGGTGCGCTTGAGCGGGTGTGCTTATTAGGTGGCAGGCATGGATACACCGCTGAGCGCTTTCTGCGTCCGATGCTAGAAAACGCTGGTATTTACTGTTTTTTGAGACTGTCACGAGCGCGGCGTTATCTCCCGTCAGAGGGAACAACAGCAGCAGCAGAAACAACCACAACTACTACCACTTCTTCTACTTCTACTACGACTACTACTACCACAACTACTATCATTTCTACTTCTGCTCCGACTACTGCTACTACTACTAATTCTAGTACTCCTTCTACTACTACTCTGGTACTACTACCATTCCAGCTACCACTCCTACTACTACTACTACTACTTCAAATTCTACTTCTACTGCTTCGACTTCTTCTAATTCTGCTTCTTCTTCTACTACTACTTCGACTTCTACTTCTACTACTATTAGTACTGCTACTACTACTTCTATCACTACTACGAGTACTACTACCACTACTACTACTACTTCAACTTCAACTTCTACTTCTACTACTACGACTACTGCTACTTCTACTTCTACTTCTACTTCTGTTCTACTTCTACTACTACTTCTACTTCTACAACTACTTCTACTTCCACTTCTTCTTTTCTCTCTTTGTTTCTTTCTTTCTGACCTTGCTTCCTCCCTTCTTTCTTTCTTTCTTTCTTTCTTTCGTTCTTTCTTTCTTTCTTTCTTTCTTTCTTTCTTTCTTTCTTTCTTTCTTTCTTTCTTTCTTTCTTTCTTTGTTGTCGTTCTTTCTTTGCTTTTTTTGCTTGTTTTTGCACCGTTCTCTCTTTTGTCTCTTCTCCATCTATCTGTCTGTCTATCTGACTATCTATCTATATGTTCTTCACTTTCTCTATCTATTTCTCTATCTATCTAATCTATTTACCTCTTTATCTATCTCTACATCTCTCTATCTATCTAACCTATCTATCTATCTATCTACCTATCTATCCATCCATCCATCTATCTCTCGTTTTATCTATCTATCTATCTATCTATCTATCTCTCTCGATCTATTTATCTATCCATCCGACTATCTTTCTTTCTTTTTATCGATATATCTATTTATCTATCTATCTGTCTGTCCGTCGCTCTATCTCTCTCTTTCTCTTTTTTCATCTATCTATCTATCGACCTATCTATCTATCTATCTATCTCTTTGTTTTCTATCTATCTGTCTATCTATCTATCTTTCGATCTATCTACCTACCTATATCTCTATCTATCTATCTTGGTTTCATTTTATCTATCTATCTATCTATCTATCTATCTATCTCTCTTTCTCATTTTTATCTTTCTAATCTGTCTATCTACCTACCTACCTACCGATCTATCTGCCTATCTGCCTATCTGTCCATCTATTTATCTATCTCTCTATCTGTGCTTGTACTTGCAAAAGTGCTGCCCCTGTACTTGACCATGCGAAAGTGCTGCGCTTGCCACGGAATCTGTACTTGACCTTGTGAAAGTGCTACGCCTGCCACGAAATCTGTACCTGACCTTGCGAAAGTGCTGCGCCACGAAATCTGCACCTCACCTTGCGAAAGTGCTGCGCCTGCCACGCAGTTTCAACCTTGAGAGAACTTGACATTGCGAAAGTGCTGCGCCTGCCAAGAAATCTGTCTTGACCTTGCAAAAGCGCTGCGCCTGCCACGCAATTAGAACCTAGCGAAGCCTTCGCGTTGCCGTGCCAATGGGCCCGCGCTCCGAGAGTGTTCCGAGCATGATCCGAGACTGGTCCGAACGTGGTCCGACCAGGCGCCGCTAACTGGCCGGCTTTCAGCTCTCCGGAGACGCCGATTCACGCACAGAGCCACGTTTTTTGCACGCTTCTATTCTCCCACCACAGGCGCGCGAAATATTTCTTTCTTGCGCGGCTATTCCTTCTCTTGTCATCTGTCCTCAGAGAGCTAGCTTTCAATTAGTTGCCGTAACACGGAAGCTCCTTCTAAACTTCCTTTGACTACTTCTTCTTCGACTATTTCCACTACTGCTACTCCTACTTACTATTACTGCTGCTACTACTACTTCTACTTCTACTACTACTACTTTTACTTTTACTTTTACTACTACTACTACTACTACTACTACTACTACTACTACTACTACTACTACTACTACTACTACTACTACTACTAGTGCTGCAAAGCAACAGGAGCCCAGTTCCCAAGCATTCTTGCAGCCTATTGCGGACGGAAAGCCTGGTGAGCTTCGCTTTTGCCCACCTGGCGGCCTGCTTGCTTGGGCAAGTGGGGACACCACCATTGGGAACCGAAGGGAAGGTGGCAAATTGTCCTCGTATCACTGGCAATGGCGGTGTGCCAGAGTGGTTCTTCAAACTCAGTCCTCAATTCTTCCAGAGTGATTGCGAGGCTTCCTGGCATACCGGGGTACCACTGGTAACGGAAGCATGGGATCTCCCCATGGACAATCCAGTTGTCTATGCTTGGTAAGTTGTAGGTGTGTTTTTGTTGAGGGGCAGAGCACCAGCTTGAACAGGGTTGAGGTGGTGCTGGTGCTGTTGCAGGTGGTACTGGTGGTAGGGCTATGGCGAATAAAGTTGCCGGGGTCGCAGTTGTTTTTACTGCCACCCTTGGAACCACTCACCTCACAGAGTGTTGGTTGAAATGCTGCGCTTTGGACTTGTCAAGAATGTTGCACGGCCCAGTGTTGGTTTGGCAAGGTCTTGTTTGTTTGGCACGCCCCCACCAGCATAGGTGGAATCGGAGGATTCGCCATGCGTCCTGCTCCTCCATGAAGGGCTTGTTAAGAGCAAACATGCGACACTGGCGAGTTTGCAATCTGAATCTAATGTTTTTGTTCACTGTGGCTGTGGTCGCATGGCATGGCATGGCAGCTTCCTTGTGAGAGTTGGCATGGCATTAGCAGGGTGTGCTGGTCTGGCGCCGAGCAGATGCAACTCATGTGGTTCCAGAGTCGGCCAGCCAGAGTTGATGCACATTGCTCATTACTTTTTTGGTTTTGCTGGGCGGGATGTTCAGGATCCTTCCTTGAACTTTGGACCATTTTGGTTTCTGAAAGAAGCATGCAGCTCTTGGCTGAGGCTGTGGACACACCGGACGCCAAAAGCTCTGAAGACGGTGAGGCCAGGCTGGCTCAGAGGGATCTTGTTTCAGGCCTCAATGAGCACTCAAGCCAGCCCTCTCCATTGGTTCGGATTTGGATTTGAAGCCCAGGAGCCCATCTCCTAAGCTCCGAATCCAAACCACCAGTTCCCGTTGTAGCTTTCTGGATGCGACGGGAACGAGTCACTCACGCAGATGGAAAGAAGGACAGTGGGAGGAACGGGATGGGTCCCGTTGCCTGGCACTGTGGAGAATTACCCTCCCAAAAACAAACATGGATTCGTCACAGTCCCCTTGCAGGAATCTTCCATCTGCTGAGAATATGTCGTTTTTTTCCCCTGTTGGTGTTCTCGGGAATCTATCACTTGTGGATATATTTGTTTGGGGGGGGGCTGAAGCAAATGGAGGGAACCCCTGTGCCTCTATGTTGTTTTTTGGGTGTCCTTTCTTTTCAGCGCCTGTGAGCGCTCTGGAAATCAGCGACAGAGAGATGACGAAAAAGGTGGAAGCGATGTCAAGAGACACACCTATAGACACACAATATGATTGAGGATATTTTCCAGTAGAAGTTTCTTCACCAAACCCTTCCTGTCAAGAGATGAAAACAGATACTGAGCGATGACAGGATATTGTGACCATTCCTCCTGGTGCACTGCACTTTGCAGACAGAAGGGCGAGAGAGTGGGCGAGAGGGACTTCCTGCTCTCGTCCACCGTTGAATCGCTTGGTTGGGGCCCGGGGAGGGAGGCATCTAGTCCTTTCGATGACTCACAGATGAAGCGACTGAAGTGGGAATAGAAAGGAAGGAGAGGCTGGGCCTTAACAATCACTATGCACATACATGTGCTGAAAACAAAGCTTTTGGTACCCTTGCTCCGGATTCCCCCGCGAAAGCCTCGACAAGCGCAAAAACCTGGCCTCCAGAAGCATGGCAAAAACGTTGTTTTTGTTGAGCCGCAAGCAGTTGACACGTGTGCGTCATGTTCCTGTGTTGGGCTTCATCGTTTTGAGCCGTTTTCTAAATTGTTCGAAAGCATCAACAGCGTTGCAGCTGTCTTTTTCCAGCCTGCAGGGCACCAAGGGCCATTCCTGGCAGTTTTTGGGGGTTCCTGGAACAGGGGTCCTTAAAAGATCTCCATTTTGCAACCATTTGAGACATATTGTTTTTTTCACCAGAATAAAGTTGGAAACCACCATTTACAAGGCAATGTTCAGGTGTATAATGCATCCGGATCCCTGTGGAAGGGTGGGTCCAAGACTTGCTGGGAGGATTCCTGCAAAGTCTCAGTCCTTGGTCCCTTGCAGCTTGAATGCTCCTTCAAGCCTTTGATTCGTTCCATAGCTGGCTTCTTGGGCCCAAACTACTCACCCATGTGCAGGTTTCAGATGCAGGGCACACATGAGTGCATTCTTTTTGGGTTAGTTCTAGGCACCACTGACTGTTCTTGTTGGAAGCACCGAGGGTGCAGTGTATGTAGGAGTTGTCTTAAACTCCAAGACTTATCTTGAGGGACATGCATACACATGTTGCAAACAACATGTTGAAAGAGCATACGCTTCTTCATGAGAAACGCGAACGACTGATCCATGGCATTTCTTGGCAAGCAACTTTGTTTGAGCACAAACTCTTCTTGTGCATCTACGTCAATCACTTGTTGAACACGGTTTGTTGGCAATTTTGTAGACATGAGTTGACATGCATCCTTAGCCCCGGTGTCATCGTGCCAGTGCATTGTAGTTCGGCCGTTGTGGACGAAAAGCCGTTCACTTTTCTTCCGAAATTAACATTGCAATTTGCTGTTTGTTTCAGGCGCTTGCGGGGGAGGGGGGGGGCTAGTCAGGGGACGCAGGGTACCACATATGTACAGCATTGTATGGTACGTTTGTACATCTACATGCCTCATCTATACTTCTCAGAGGTCCGCTTGGGGGGGGGGGGGGCGGGCAACTAAACCAACTCAGCCACCGCTGAAGATGCAGCAACAAACTAGGGCAGGTCTTGGTCACATGCTATCTTAGTACCAGGCAGGAAGCTAAGCAAGCTTGACTAAACAACTGCTAACCTACTGTGGATGGACGAAATCCTGCACCACTTTGAAAACATTGGAAACCATTGTTCGTTGGTTTTTACAGTGGAATCATCATTCCAGGGATTTTTTAGGTGGTGCAGGATTTCGTCCATCCACAGTATGCCAACACCACCGACCAAAAGAGTAAAGCCGATAGGAAAGCAACTCCCCAATCAACTCCCCGACCATGTGGATTCAGCCCAGAACCAGCTTCAGAAAAGCCGGCCAGGGCCAAGAGCAGTCAGAAAGGGCCCCCCAAAAAAAAGCAGCCAGAAACCGCCAGAGGGATTTTTCTCTTGGGTCAAGGTTCTTTGATGAGTCGATGTAGCCTCACTTCCTGAGTTCCGGGACTCGGACTTCCATCTCTTTGGGTTTGGTTGCCATTTGCTAAGCAAAAAGTTTGGGGGGGCGAGCTTCCACTCGATCAGAAGTCTGAAGAGCTGACATCTGCGCTTTGTTTGGCAATCTGCCATAGCTTGGACCCGGCGAGCCCCTTTTAGTTTCAGAAATCCCTTTTGGTGTTGGCATCCGGGAAGTGAGGAATTCGCAGGGAGAAACCACTTCCCCCCGGCGGTTCTGTTCGGTTTTTCGCAGGCCGGCGCCTTTGCCAACCTGCGGGGCCGCCTGGGCCGCTTGGCGCAGGCGGCGCGGCCCGCGCGCGCGCCCTGAACGGCTGCGGCGCTCGGCGCGCTCGGGGCCCCGGAGAGAGGCGGGCCATGGGTCGAAAGGCCGGGTTTGCGCTTGAGACGATGCTGCAATGCTGGGGTTTGTGCTGGCATAAATGTTACAAGCTGCGCCCAGTGAGATCAGGAGAAAGTCATCGGCCAAGGGCGATTCCGAAAAAGTCAAGATGCCCTCGAGAAGACGTCATGAAACATTGTTTGGTCAAGGCTTTGGCGTAAGTCTGGAAGCTCGCGCACATCTTTACAATCACCTGAGCATTCGAGCCATGCGTACGTTACACATGCGTACTGGGTCCACTTTGCAAGTCCAAAAGAACACCTCAACACTCCTCGATCCCATCTCTGTCACAAAAACTGCACGATTCTCTTCATGTGTTGGGCCCGTTCCCTTCCATCAGATCTGGACAATTCTTGGACCCGTCTTGCACCCGTGAATCTCCAGGCATGTTGCATTGCCCTTTGCTGATGATTTTATCCTGATCTCATAGAATTGTGCTTCCCGGAAGCTGGCAGGTTGGAAGCTGGTAACCACTTGGGTGTGTCTTTTTTTGGGGGTGCCACTTGTTTGTCGTTAAGGGGCAACCCACAGGAATACCCTTTGGCCATTTGTTTGGGGTCCACTCGTGCCTTCGTCTTGGATTTGTTGCGCCCTTGCCTCCAAGGCCTTGGTGCAGCAAGGCGGCCGTGGCCAGCGGAAAGAAGAGCGCGCCAGCTGCAGCGTTGAAGGCCTCGGCCACGCGGGGGTCAGCCTTGGCATAGTCGCCAGCTTGGGCTGGGCCCACCAAAATGGAGCTGCAGACAGATTTCGTCGGACCGCCAAGCGACTTCGTGTCACGGGCCTCGCATCGCGCGTAGCCGGCTCAAGCCTCAAGGGCCAGGGCTGAGCTCTTCGTCCCGCTTGGATCGCGGGAGAGACTCGCGCGCCAACAAACCCGTGTTTAGCCTCATGGCCCTAAGAGGCACTCAGGCAGAGCGTTGAGGCCAAGCTAACACGCGACGGGAGAAGATGGCGAGCATGATGACGATTCAGGAGGAGCAGGACACCTCGCCTCAAGGCCAGATGGGCCTGTTCCAATGGTACAGGTTGATGCGTGCATTGGCATCTTTGAAGCCAATGACATCCAATGAAGTGCAACTTGTTGAATGTGCTACATGTATATATATATATATATATATGTGTGTGTGTGTACGTGTGTGTGTATGCCCATACACATACATATATTTGTTTCTTTATATATAGCATATCTATATATATATATATATATACACCTACATGTCTACATTTGTGCCTTTGTGTTTCTTTTTTTCTGCGTTTGTGTGTATGTGTCTCTATGTCTTTGTGTCTCCGTGTTCTGTGTTTGTGTGTCTTTGTGTCTCTGTGTTTCTGCGTTTGTGTGTATGCATCTCTGTGTCTCTAAGTCTTTGTGTCTCTTTGTTTCTTTGTTTCTTTGTTTGTGTGTCTCTGTGTCTCTGTGTTTCTGCATGTGTGTCTCGGTGTCTCTGTGTCTCTATGTCTCTGTGTCTCTGTGTCTTTGTATTATTGATTCTCTATGTCTCGTGTCTCTGTGTTTGTGTGGTTGTGTGTCCGCGTCTCTGTGTGTCTGTGTCTCCCTAGCCTTTCTCTCTGTGTCTCTGCTTCTGCGTGTGTGCATGTGTGTCTGTGTGGCTGTGTGTCTGTGTTTGTATTTGCGTGTTTGTGTGTCTGTGTGTCTGTGTGTCTGTGTGTCTGTGTGTTCGTTTGTGTGTATGGGTGGGGGGAGAATCTTAGGATGCTACATTTGCAAGTGGACAGTTCGACAGACAATGAGAGGGGACTGTACCTCCTTTTTTCACCGCGATTGACCGCAGTTTGTCGTTTGACGAATGCGCCGCGATGTGTTGCGACGCTTGCCCTTGCCAATGAACATCTTCCAGTTGCTTATGTGTTTTTGTGATTTGTCCTGTTGGTTTTAAAGGGAGCCGATCGCTGCTGGACCTTTGTTTTTGCAGGGACTTGAGCAAATGGAGGATATGGAGCCCGAAGCAAGGGGTTCCAGACCCCGAAGACGATCAAGGAGATGCCGGCTCTTATGGAAATTTGGTAAAGGATCTTTGGACTGAACACCTTTTGTGTTTGAAATGAAGGAGAACCCTCAGAATGGTAGGATTTCCGTTTGGCTTCCCTATAAAATCAACCAAACGGAAAGTTATCTTTCCTAAACGAAGATAATACATCTAAACGTTTGGGACTGAAAAGTGCGGAGCTCGTCATTAATTTCGTCAGGCGAGTCCGGGAGATGCTCCTTGCACCGGGTGCCTCGGAGCCGTCAGAGGTTCAGCGCCTGAATAACCCCATTGAAAGCCAAGTTACAGGAAACCACTCAGGGAAACCAGCTAGCAGGGATACAGGGGTAGCCAGGGATACGGGAGGATTCCCCCGTTTGATGCACCTTGACTAAGTTTGATATGGGAAATGGCGCCAAGGGAATCCCCCCGTATCCCCACTCCCTCGTATCCCCGCTTGTTCGTTTGTCCAAACCACTCTGTTTGGGGGTCTCCAGGGGGAAGCAGAACCTTCCGTTTGCTTGGAAAGATGTTTGTACTTTCCCTTGTTGGGTGTGAAGGGGATCGATCATACTGGACATTATACTGGACATATTGAGACTTCAACTTTTTGCAAATCATTGGGGTTTTGAGAGTTGAACCACAAACAGTTGTGTCTACTTTTTGCATAGGGGTCGTTGCAGCAACCAAGGCTTTTTTCATGGATATGACGCCTTTGAAGGCCTTTGAGCCTTTCTTGTCACCGTGTCTTCATGTTTGTGGCATTTGACCAAGTCCCTGGGTGCCTTGAACTTCTCTCAGTCGCGTCGAAAGCAGGCAATGTTTCATTACGTTTGCTGAAATGAATCTGTGTTGGTTTCACTAAGATAGAGTTGTCTATTACAAGCGGAATATGTTCAGAATCTTTAAGCCCAACAGCAGTATCTATCTATTTCGGCTGTTGGGTTGAAAGGTTGCTATCACTGCTTTGCTTTCCCCTAGGGACCTGAGCAAATCAAGGATATTCAACGTGGTGGTGTGCATCCCCTGCGTGCCTTGCTTTTCGTGCAAGTGATCACTTGCCTGCCGGGTTTGGATTTGGGAGTCGGTCTCTTGCCTCTCCATTTTGTTGGGGCCAAGAAGAAAGCCTTCACAAAGGGGGATCTGAAGCAAGTCCATACGCGCCACAGGGCTTTGTTGACTGGGGGAAAAAGATCTTTGGAGTCGTTTCAGGGTTGACTGGGGGAAACCCCCTTAGTCCGTTCAGGTTGCCGAAAGTTATGGATCCTGCGGTCTCATAGCTTCGCCCATAGGCATTGCCCGACCTGATCCGCTGCGACGAATGTCAGGCAGGGCCAAGAAGCGCGGCTCGGAGCTCCATGAGATCTTACAACAGGGTTTCTTCCATTTCCTTTTTTGGGAACCTCCCCAAGTGGCGATTGTTTCTCTGCAAGGCAGCAGAATGCATTGCAGCTTTGGGCAATCCAGTGACCCCTGTACACTGGGGTTCGCTTCCTGCTTTCGCCAACGGATTAGGTGGGATGGCCCAAAACCTCGCTCGGCCGCCCTGGTGGCGTTTTTGTTGTTTTTGTTTTTCTTTTTTGATCCGTCAAGGCAGGTTGGGGGGGCTTTCCGGAGCTAGATCGATGCGTTCTCGATCCGTGCCACCTGAAGACGAGAGATTGTGTTCCAAAGAGTCTAGGTTGTTGTCTTGGTCAGGATGGCTTGAGAATCATGTGCCAAGCATGTGCCACCTGTAGCTGTACAGTGCATGCCGCTGCATTTGCACAGTGGATGGACCAAATCCATTTCGCGCCACCGTTTTCGTTCAAAGCGGCGGCGTGGTCTCGGGTGAGTCAGGGGCAATCGTCATTGGCATCCTGCCGGCTCTGCGCCCCTCTTGGCCACGACTCAGTTTGTTGGGGCACTCCAGGTAACGACCATGCGCATGGCTTCGGATTCACGGAACAAAACTATGTTTCGGGTGCCCCTCAATATCAGTGGGCACCTTTGTCGTTGCCTCGCTGAGTCAAGACCCTCTGGACGCAACGGCAGACAGAGAGGGAGAGAGAGAGAGAGAAAGTATTTAAAAGAAAAAATGAAAAAAAAGTGGGCTCTACCAACACGACCTTCCTCTTAGACGATGGTCGGCCTCCGGCCCCGGCCGCCAGGAGGTTCACAAAGATCTGCCGCCGGAAGGCAAAGCGCCACGGCAGGGGCTCAAGCAGAGCTTTCCAGCCCCTCGGATGGAGTGCTACTATTTGTGGCTTTTTTTTCCCCCCGTTTTTTTGTTTTTTTTCCCCGCGCACCTGCTCCTACTGTGGATGGACGAAATCCTGCACCACCTTAAAAATCCCTGGAAAGATGATTCAGCTGTAAAAGCCGACAAACAATGGTGTCTAATGGTTTCAATTTGGTGCGAAGCGGATTTCGCAACCATCCACAGTATGGTTGTCCACTTGCCCCCAATGGCCGCCCCATCCCACTCGGGTCGAATTTGGGGCGAACAGATTTCGGTTGGATCATTTCCAGGTCCCCTCTTTGGGGGGGACATATCAGCATTTCCTCATGGAGGCTTTCCATAAGAGCCATTTCTGAAATGGTTCCCAGTGCCCTTTTTAACCCCTTTTTCGGGGGGTTTCCCCTACTAAAATAAACTACAAAAAAGAAGGGTACCCTTATTCTAACCTCTACCAGAGGACCTAGATTTTAAAGACTGTCCAACGTTGAGCTTGACAGAGGCTTTGGATGACGTGTAGAGGCCGAGGAAGACGGCAAGCTGAGGTCGTGGCGTGGGAGTACCTTTCTCTCTTCTGAAAGGTTGGCAAAATTTGTGGGACCTTTTGGTTGAGCGGCTCAAGATCTTGCGCAATCCTGAATCAGGTTGTTTGCAACGAGGCCAGTGCATCAGACAGTTAGAGGCTACAGTTGGAGAATTATGCCAGTGGGATTGCTATAGTTTTGGTGTTTGTCCATTTTGTGTTTATTTTTTTTCCCCAGCCCCTTCCCTTTGTCCATCAAGCACGTAAGCAGACAGATGGGTTTGAAAAACCTACAGCCCTTTTCAAAGGCCCCACGTCCATTTCCATTTTTTCCAGAAAGAGGTTGTGTAACCTTCAGGTTTGCCCAGGGGCAGATGTTAGAGCGACAGAGGTAGTGGCCATTCACAGCGACACCCGCCTGGACCATCTGGTGTGGCACTCAGGCTTGTATGCGAAAGGCTGGGCCCCTTGCTTGAAGGCTATTGGGTTGGATCTTTAGACTTTAACTTTTTGGCTGAAATCGATGGCTTTTCCATTAAACCCGCAAAAAATTAAGCTTTTTGCAGAGGTGTCAACAGCAACCAAGCTTAAAGTGAACAGTTGAGGCGTTCTTAAGACTTGTGTTTGGGTGGTGTTCCTTTGGATCAAGACTGGCACTTCAGTGGACCAGTAAGGCCCAATTGTTTGCTGAGCACCTTCAATCGAGCAAGCTCGTCTTCACTCACCATGGTCATGGGGCAACTGGGAAACTCATCCAGTTGAGCTTCACATGGTCGTGATGGAATTTCTAGCAGGTCGCCGCGAGTTTGGGACGTTCTCCGCAAAACGATTGAAGCCTCGCTGTTATTCATGATGATTTCGCCGTGCAGTTCACAAAAGACGCCCGCATGTTTGCAAATGCCCAATAAGTCGCAGGCCAAAGTGGACTTGCCTTGCTCCCCAACCCAAAGACAGCCAAAAGTGCTTGCCGACACTTTGCGGTAAGCCAAGAGTTTGTCCACGTGCGCGCAAAGTTGATGTCTTTCATTGCTGGGCATAGGCTGTATGAAGACTTGCTCTTGAGGGTGTTAGCTGTGACTCAAGTCAACCGGCTTACACTGGGGCGTGCGCAGGAAAGTCGTGCGTAGCTGCGAAGCAAGTCAAATTTGAGACTTGTTTATTGTTTAACGTTATTTTCATGTTTGCTCTTATGGTTGATCGTCTACCTTCGAATTCACACCCCAAGGCCCGCATTTCTGCGCCGGATTGGGGCAGATGTTGTTCTTCCATTGAGCCACGAGCCCTGCCTCAGGAACCAGAACATCCAAGCGGACTGGACTACCAGAAGCTGGAGGAGCGAACGGTCAAAACAAAAGTTGAGGAAACTTGTTTACGATTGCAAACGTTGGAAGGGCATAGCCTCCCACCCTTTTCACAGCCGGAACCTGACGTTCGGAGGGTCCTAGCTTGGACCATTTTCCTCTTAAAGACACCGGGCCCCTGTCAGATTCCGGCTGTTCATTGGTGGGAGGGTACCATTTCTTTAAGCCTGGAACTTAGAACCCGGTCTCAGGGGCTCGCCTGGCATTTTAGTGCTCTGGTGGTCTTTCTTTAACTCAGTTCAAGGGTAATCCGCAAAATCCATACCCAAGGGGTTGCGTAAGGATTTGGTCCCCTCTTAGTGGCTTCCCTTTTGAGATTATGGAAACTCGGATTGGTCAAGCCTCCGTTTTGAACAGCTCAGTTTAAGCTTGGAACCTGGTCTCTGGCCTTTTAGTGTTCTGGTCGGATGCAAGGCATAGGTGTTCACAGTTTTTGCCAGTTTTTGCCAGTGTACACCGTTTCCTCCATTTTTTTGAAACCTCCCAAAGTGGAATTTGCAATGGAACCGACAGTAAATTGATAATTGCAACTTTTCAAGGGGGAATCTAGTGACCCTGATGTTTTCCCGCCTGTCGTGCTATGGGCGTTTCTTGAAGGCGGGGACCTCTGTGGGTGGTAACAGCTCGGCAGCTTTTTGGGCGGCGCGTGGGGAAGCAAAGGAACCCGACCTGGCAAGTTGTGGAGGAATTTGTCGGTAAGGAGCGTGGTTGTGTGTGTGTGTGTGTTTTTTGTTTGTTTCCCCGGTATATTGTAGTATTTGATTTGGAGAGGTAGGTGTGGCAAAAGCTGACTTGCGCTTGGGTGTTCTATAGCACTTTTTGAGGTATGTTGTGCAAAGAATGTGAACGTGTGAGCCATCCACGTCGGCAACTCACAACCGCAAATTCCACGGTCCAGCGTCGCTTCTTTCATTCTGGGAGACATCTTCGATATTGAAGACTGAAAGCACGCAAGTTGCTCTTGCGGAGGCGGCTTCGCACACTCATTGCAGTTACAAACCTCTAAATGAAGCTTTGGCACTGCTCGACCACGAGCCAGTTCCGACTTCGCCGGCACAGCGTGCTTGCAGGACGACTATGACAAGTACGTCTTTGAGCGTTCCGAAGAGAAGGCGTGATGCACGGGATTCGAACTTTAAGGCCAGATGAAAACCAATGACTGGAATGTGCATGCGCTCAAAGGCCTATGCATCAGGTATCCCGGTATCCCTGAGCTGGTGGCTTGGATCAGAGTTGAACTGGCTTCTTGTTAGACGAACTCGGAAAGACCTGAAGGCCTAAATCCGGAGGGAAGCCGATTTGCAGTCAACCCGATTAGTTGCCACGGCGCCTGCTTGATGCTAAGCAATTTCCGCGCGAGTCAGGATGGCTTAGAGATCGAGAAGCGCGGGGCCTGAGGGCTCCGAGCGGCGGGGAGTCAGCGCAGCCTCTGGGGCTTTGGAGCATGAAAGCGCCTCGTAGCCCGCCCCCTTATGCTAAAGCTTCCTGAACCAAGCCCCCCCCCCCTTGTACAAGCCCCCCCTGCCCTCAAAAGCTTGCTTATCCAGGTACAGGTCATCCGCTGATCAAATGGACATTGCGACAGCAACGAAGCTGGATGTTTAGCACTTTGCTGTGAAAGGCGGTTGCGAAAGGTCTAGCATTATAGCCTCTTAACGGGAACCAGGGAATAAGAAACAACTTCTGCAACCAACCTGCAAATCATTCCTTGGACTCCCCAGCACCCAGCACCCTGAATTTCTATCCCTCTTTCGCCCAGGGCCTTGGCCCCCACTCCTGCCGTGTGTGTCCCTTAATCATGGGGGGGGGATTTCGAGTCCTGGATTCCCATCAAATGGGAACTTGGGTCCCGAACTCCTACAAAAACTTGAGGGGGCCTTTTGTGCCCTAAACTAACACAGCGGATCCCGGGTGAGCCATCGTAGACCAACTATTTTCCCGGTTTTTGCAGGCTTCCCTTGGTTACCCACTCAAATTCCATTTGGAAAGTTGAAGAATTTGAAGTTTCGGATTGTCGATTGATCTCTCCGGACTCGTTTTCAAAATTCCATGGAAGATGCGGGTCCGAGGCGCAGACTTCAACTCCAGAAACAGAAGACCAACAAGGCCAAGCGAGAGGCAGACCGCGCCGGAAGCCCAGTTCCATGGAGTTTGCTCGGAATCAAATCCCTTTAAGTCGGTTCTCCAACAATTAAAAGGCATGATTCACTGTTGTTGGAGTATATTTGTTTGTCGTTTGTTGAGGGTTTTTGGGTTTGTGCAGTTTTGGGCTGCAAAAAACAGTTTTTTCCAAGAGCATTTTGTTGTGTCTAGTGTCATTGGGCATCTGAACATGTAAGCTTGCGCGGATTTTCCCCAATGGTTTGTTAAGTATTTGTTGCGTCTTCTGAGGGGGGGAACTTTGGTGCGTTTGTGCGCGTTGTGTGCTTGGTTTCTGTTTGGTTTGAAATTTGTTCCCGTACTCCCGAGCCAGTTCCGTTAAGAATGGGGTGAGGACAACTGATGTTGCACCTTCCCGCATTGGTGGTTTTGCAGCTGGCCTTTCTCCAGATTTAGGGACCTCGTGTCCAGCAAAGGTGGCCTGAAGGCAAGGGGGGGGTAGGGCGGCCAACAAATCCAGACTTGCATGCGCTGAGGCAGCCCAAGATGCTGAATGGCGAGTTGCGTCCTTAGCTTGCAAACGTTGGCGTTCCGCGGATTTTTACAAAGCGCAACCCGCACGACAACGGCTATCGCAAATTATGTTTTGACTGTCCACAGATTCTTGGCCAGTGGGCAAAACACAACTCTCGCTTGCCAGATTGCTGATGCACAACGAGCTGCAGATGAGCGGCGGGGCCGTCGCGAGCAAGATTTGCAGGCTGGGGCAAGAGTGTTCGTTGTTCTTCGTCTCAACGCGAACGCCACGCGTCGCGGTTTGCCGGGGGTGTACCCCAAGCAGAGAGCATTGTTTCACGGCCGCTTGCCAAGTGCATCACCTGAGCAACCCATCGATGTGCATCCTGTTTTGCAGCTTGATAGTAGTTGCTTTTGGCATTTGAACGAATTGAGCAATGAGTTGGATCCCCCAACGGTTGGGTTCTCGTGTGTCAACATTTGGCTAGGAATCTTAGGGAACCACCCAATTGATGTCCATCAAAAGGACCCCCAAATGATGTCCACCAAAAGGAGCCCCGTAAAAAGATCAAACCTCTGTTAATTCGGTTTGTTGGCACCTCTACTGCTTCCATGGAACCAGCGGGCCCGAGGCGCTGGAGGTACAAGCCGCGGTCCCAGGTTGGCCGCCCTTCCGGCGCAAATGGGTCGGTTTTTTTGGGGAGAACCAAGACATCCAAATAGCTGCTTTGGGGTGTTGCTCAGAATTATGTCAGAATTTCGAGTAACTAGTAATGAGATGTTGGGCCGGAATCTGAAAATCTGATGCGTTCGCCAGATTTGGGCCAAGACAAACCCTGGTAGAGAAAGGTTTTCTGGGGCAACGGGCTAACGCAACCAAATAATTTCTTTGGATGGCCATTGAAATGAGCGCATTCTCTGGCTGTGACATGCGCAGGTCCGATAGTTTTGTCCCAGTCCTGAAGCGTGTTTTAACCAGATACGCCGAATGATGGAGAGGGGAAGGGAGGGAGAGAGAGGGAGAGAGAGAAATAGAGAGGGAGAATGCCTGTTGGGAACAACATGGATTTCTCATGATTTCTCCAAAGACACACAAACATGTGTCAGTTGCTTTCCGCGAGATGATCCTCTGACCACAGGGGCCGTAGCTTCATTGCCTCTCAGGCTGTTTCAGGACGAGTTGGCTTGGTCAAGAGCTCATGTGGCGTCAAATTGGGGGAATCAGCGAGGTATAATCTGTGTAGTTTTTAGCCCCGACGAAGCAGCCAAGACAGGGCAGACTTCCGAGGTCCGACAAGCAGACATTCTTCACGACGAGGCCCAGCGTGAGGTGAAGAAGCCAGAAGCCTCAGCGAAGCCTAGGGAGTCATTGCTGCTAGAAACTTGACTGTTATTGGGTTGGATCTTTAGACTTTGACATTTTGGTTGAAATCAAGTTGGGTTTTCCACTCGACCCCCAAACAGTGGTTCACTTTTTGCGAAGGGAGTCGTTGCAGCAACCAAGACATGGTTGCCACGTTCCTTTGACCTGCTGAGGCGTTTGGCCGAAGCCGAAGGATTGAAAATTGAGGAGGAGGAGCGGGTTTGGAAGTCTCAACACATCGGCGGAAGGTTTCTTTTGTTGTGCTTGGTATGTTTTTCGTGTTTTTTCTCCGCTGGGCGTGGTTGTAGGACCTTCATTTGTAAGAAATGATTGTGTTGTTTTTAGGGGCCCTCAAAAAATGTGGTTTACTTCTGGTTTTCCTTTTAACACCACCGAAGAGGGGTGCCCTCAAAAACAGACACACCCGACCGCAGTGTTGGTCCTTGGTATTCGACGTTCAATAGATTTGGTACTACCAGATAAACCTTTGGGCCAGTCCGGTGCAACTCGTAGCCTGCAGTGGAAAAGGTGTGAATTGGTGTTGCTAACATATATTATGTCATAGAAATCGGGGACAAGGCAAGTTACATGAAACCAACCACTTGTGAAATGCCCGTAGCTGGTTTCTGAGAATCTGGTTGCATGTGATATTTCAAAATGTGGAACACATCCTTCCATTTGCTGGAATGATTTATATTGATATTTCTTTAATTACTTTCCAAATCTCCGGGAAACTATCACTACCGGAAATATGTTATCATCTTTTTCCAAGGGTCCTAGGCAAATGGAAGCTTCGATTTACCAAAGAGTTTTATCGGGCTGTCGTGTGATTGTTCTGTTGGAGCTACGGTTTCCTCGGAAATTGATCAGATCAAACGCGAGAGGTCAGTTTGTTACCCTGTTGGCCACGGAGCAAGAACAACTTGGTGACGTTAAAAATGAGTTGAGTTGGCCAGTTGAACGGGAGTCCACTATTCCGGAAGCATTTGGACGATCTTGCTTGTGAATCGGACCAAGCCGTTTGACGTGTCACTTGCAAAACTGGCACTCTCCACGTCTGAAGGTTGCATCAACTATCCAGTGGGGGGGTTGCCATGTACAATCTTCTTTGCTCACCCTTGAGGTGGAAATTGCTCAAGCCCACCTGAGAACGTCATGTAATCCATACTAGTTTGATTGGAACAAGATCGCCTTCCTACGCCCCAGCTGGCCAGTCAGGGCCAGTCAGGCCAAATCAGGGGGCAGAGCGCATGTTTGCTTCAACCGAGTATGTTTATTCTCCCCTGCTGGTTTCAAAGGAAATCTATCACTACTGGAAACATATTTCCATTTTTGTCCAGGGGACTGTGGAAGATTGCAATTTGCAAATTTTATGATCTTGATGATCGTTTTCCCTTGCAGACTCCTCTTTTCTTCCCCAGAATTAGCTCCCTTTTTTGTTTTGTTTGCTTTTTTGGGGTCCCTTTGTTTTCCGCTAACCAGGCCAAAAAGATAACTTTTGCTGGGGTTCTAATTCCAGCCTAGTTTTGACGGCCACGCCTTGCGATGTTTGTTGACCTGGCAGAGCTTAAGAAGTTGTCCGCCGCAGTCCCACTTGGCGACCGGCATCCGGCTGCTCGAGGTTGCAGGCGCGCGTGTTTTGGCGCGATTTCAGGCGTAGAAAAGTCTGGGGCTTTGCCTTGTTGACCTTTGGCTTCGCTGATTGGTTCCTTTTCGATGGTGATCGCCTTTTTTTAAGGGGCAACTCAGGCGAGGATTTGGAGCGAAACAAAGGGACCCTTGAAAGAGGGGCTCTACACTTCCCATGGTTCCATGCAGAAATTGCAGGCCTCCAGTGTCTCCCTTTGGACCTTGTTTGGGCGTTCTTCTGAGCAACCCCATTTGGTTCCTGCTGGACCTCATACATCACTCAAGTGGCGAGCGCGTTTGTAAGTTTGGTAGCAAGCTTGTTTGAATGCCCAGCTGTTCAGATGCTGCGAATCACACCATCAAGAGCAAATGTCGGAGAGGTGATAAATGCGATTCCCGATCCCTGATACGCTGCAATTGAAGCTACGATGAATGTAGTCTGCCAGAATTGCTAAAGTGGACCTCGCTGCATCAAGCAACCTTGGGCACTTGTGCGGGTGTGTGTGTGTGTGTGTGAAGGGTGGTGTATTGGGTATGTACCTTTCATTCTCTATCCTGACCTATTTGGCATGACATCGACTTGCAGCAAGCTCGTTTGGCCTTGTGAGATATGCTTGCGGCTATGTGCCGAAAGGTTGAAGGGAACAACTATTCCAGCATAAGTCGAAGCTTGTGGGTTTGATTTCCTGATTTTGGAAGGGGTTGTTCGAAGGGTTTACTAGAAGGGAATATGCAACGAGAGAGGGGAGACTGCCACATAAATTGAAGAACATGTGTGGTCCGTGCCGGCTGAGACATCCTAGCTTTCACTGCATAGATTTATATGTTTGATGCTATTAGAGGGTTGGTGGGTTGCAAATGTAGGGACTCCTGGTAGGGGCCGTCGTTGAAAAAAAACAATATTGAGTGCTCACATGCAGCACGTGGGCCGCCTCCTTTCAATTTGTTGAGACTGGTTGAAAGAACCCCTGCCCAAGCTGAACTGTTGCTGAACTGCCGCCTTGAACCTGTCCGATTTGCCTTGACCTCATTCAGGCGACATAGCTGGCTTTGTTTGCTTTCTAAATGTCTTATTGGAATACTTGGCCGGCCAAGAGCAGATTAATTGGTTGCGCCATCATCCACTGTCAAAAAACGGCGTTTGCCTTCCCTGAAAGGTTTTACAGGCTGTCAAATCGGTGGGAGCTGAATGGAGGGCACCAAATCCTACCTGCAGAGATCCTGACGCAGATATCCTTCTATCCTTTTTGACCTATGTCAGCGCCAGATCCTTCTAATATCCTCTTCTATGTCAGAGGCGCCGTGGTGATACATCCTTTGTTCTCCTTGACCTGACATGACATGGCCCAGACCATGCGTCATTCTTCAAAGACTTCGCCAGTTTTGGGCGGTGACTCAACGTGTCTGATACCTGGTTGGAAGTTAAAGGGAAACAACCCCATTTCTGACTTTGATAACCCCCAGAAACCATCAAATAATGACCCCTGTACTTCCCCAGAATTAGCTCCCCTTTTTGTTTTGTTGCTTTTTTGAGGTCCTATTGTTTTCCACTAACCAGGCATTTGTTCCGTTCGGACTTTAGTCACTCTTTGGGTTTGGACCAAGTTTAAGGACTAAGTGTATTGACCCCTGGTTTGGTGACTCCCCTTGCACCAGACTGCTTTTGACGCATGCCAGTGGCGCGCCGGGTAGCGGCGCAGAAACGCCATGCGGAGTTGCAGGCGGTTTCGGGGGGGGGGGGGTGTCCCAGTGGGGTGGGGTGGGGTGGGGTGGGGTGGGGTGGGGTGGGGTGGGGTGGGGTGGGGTGGGGTGGGGTGGGGTGGGGTGGGGTGGGGTGGGGTGGGGTGGGGTGGGGTGGGGTGGGGTAAAATAAAATAAAATAAAATAAAATGCGGTATATATATATATATATATATGTATTTTTTAAGTCTCCCTTTTGGTTGGTGGTTTCTCTACAAAAAACATGGAACGACTTCCTTTCAATCAAATTATCATAGTTGAATAGTTGGGACCTAGAAGCCAAAAAGCATGGTTGGGTTCCTAAAAACAATGCATAATGTGCAAGTGTCTTGTGGTTTCTGTTGAAAACACAAACCACCAAGCGGTCCAGTATTTTGGAACACCCATTTTGCTTTTTTTGACAGGACCATTCCAGGTTTCATGTGCCCTGAAAAAGGAAAGGCGTGCATGGTGCACTTACCGGTGAATTGCTTTCAGGGGGTCCAGAAGTCACTAAATCCCTCTGAAGGGGATTTGTTCGGTGGTGGCCGCTTCCTGTGTGGATGGATTTGGCTTTTTGTCTAGGTCCCCCAGCTAGGTGCCCTTTCTCACCCCTTTTTTGGGGGAGGCCAAGGCTCCAGGTTCGCGGTCCCCATGTGAAGAGAAGGCCCCCACCTGACTGAAGGGGTGCTTGTCGGTCGGCTCCAGTATTGCAAACAGATGACCTATGAAAAAGCTGGAGTGTGTCTTACAGCCTTCGTGGGTGCCGTACACTCTCAACTATTCATTCTATGACGACGCACATTGTTTTAGCAGCTTGTTCATCTCTCATTCCAGCACCGAATCAATCCTGTGGTTTGACCTCCATAGTCTGTTTTTTTCTCCAAAGGCCACCAAGGCGAGAAAATCCCACTGGCCCTCAGTAGGGAATGACAGAGTCCTTCAAAGGAAACCAAATTGGGGATGGTGTTTCTCAGGGTCATTCCATCCAACTCATTCCCCTGTCAAACCAACAAGTGTCCCCTATTTTTTCTCCTCGAACATGTTTGGTTTGTTTGCAGCACAACCGGGGCTCCGGAAAAAAGAAGAAGGAAAACACACACACAGACACAGACACAGACACAGACACAGACACAGACAGAGACAGAGACAGAGACAGAGACAGAACAGAGACAGAGACAGAGACAGAGACAGAGACACACACACACACACAAAGATCTAACCCGAAAACCTCGCCGCGTCGATTCCGCCCGCAAAAATCTCGCGACCCGCAGCTCTCGCGCGCCTTTCGCGCGCCTTTCGCGCGCTGCGAGGCGGCGTCGGAGCAGCGGCTGGCGCAGCGCGAGGCAGAGGTGCGGGCCATCGTGGAACACGTGGAGCAGCAGGCGCTCGGAGCGAGCGGGGGTGCCGTCGGAAAAGCGGGGATTGGGGGGGGTGGTGTCCGGGGGGGATGGCAGATTTTGTTTTGGAGGCTTGGTGGTTCCTAGCCAATTTGGTTCCTGTGGTGTTACAGGTGTTTAGGTGGTTTAATTAGAGGGGGTTGCCATTCAACCCACAAGTTATTCACTTTTAGAAGGGCATGCACCTGGCTACTAACCTCAAAGGTCGCCAAGATCCCGAAAAAGACAACGGCTTTGGGAGGGCCGTTCCGGGTCCCCTCCGCGTTTGATAGGGAATGAGAGGTGAGCCCAAAGAAAATCGGTTCTGAGTTCTCAAAGGGAATCTGCGGGAGGACTAAAAACGGACAGATTGGTATAGTTGTTCTGGCTCTTTGTGTTCCATTTGCGGACTTTAACTTGTTGGTTGAAACAGGGCGGATTGCCCAGACGGGACCCACAAAAGGTTGTCAACCTTTCGCGGAGGGGTCATTACAGCAACCAAGAGAAGGGCTGCTTTGCTTGTCCAGTGGAGAGGGCCGCTCAGGAGTGGCCATGACAAATTCACTCGTTTGTGAGTTCAATTAAAGAGTAGTCCTAGGAGGGTTCCCCTAAAATAGACTACAGAAAACAAGTTGGTACAGAAAAGGAAGTGCTGGCAATACTCAACTAAGTAGTGGCAATACTACAGCGATCCTGAAGTGATCCAAGCTCCCTGCCAGATCCTTATTCAGGATCGTCGAACACTGCTTTGACTTTAGTTGAAACAGGCCGGATTGCCCAGAGGGGACCCAGAAAAGGTTGTCGTGAACCAAGAGAAGGGCAACTGGTTTGTTTGTCCAGTGGAGAGGGACGCGGAGGACTGGCCAAAACGCTCTGTTGTGAGTTCAAGTAAAGACTAGGTTCCCCAGCTAGGTGCCCTTTTACCCTTTTTTGGTTGGAAGGGTTCCTTTACTTAAATAGACTACAGAGAAAAAGGGTACCCGTATTCTAACCTCTCTACTGGAAGACCTAGAATGAAGAGTAGTCCTAAAATCGTTGGTTTTTGGATATCCGTTTTTGGGGGGAGAGATGGCCACCCATGCCAACGGCCAAGAGCGTTTTCAGCTCTTGGGTGGTTTGTCTTGCGCTCCTTGGAGGTTGTTTCCTGTCTGTTTTTCTTTTTTCTGGAGATCTGTTGCGCAAATTGGATCCACAAAAGAAAGTTGTATGGGAAGAGTGCGTTTGATTTGTTATGAAATTTGTGGATCCATAAATGAAAACTGTATCGAAAAAGGTGTTGGCAATCACTTTTGATTAATTTATTGGTGGCTCCCAGCCATCCGGTTCCTTAGCTTTTTTTTAGTGTTTAGTGGGGCTTTCCATTTCACCCACTAAAAGCTAAGCTTTTAGGGGAGCATCAGAAATCGGGCAGCCCAGACTTGGGGGAGGAATCAGGTTCCATACAGCCGATGTTGCCGTTTCTTTTTTGGAAACCCCCCAGCAGGTCTCTTGCAACCCGGGGGCAATCTGTGGGTGGCCATTGGCTTTCCTCCCAACTGGGTTCGCATTGATTCCTTTTCCATGTCCAAGCATCGTTTGGTGCAGAACGCAAAAATCTGATCCGGAAGTTTGAACTAGAAAGGAGGCCCGGAAAGGCGTCCCCTGTCGGCACCTCTCTTTGCCGCCAAGAGAAAGGAAGACAAAAAGCATCCCCGAGTTGTTTCCTCTCAGAGAATCCCGTCTTGTTCATTCCCAGAAACCCTGGCTCCTTCTCTACCAAGCACCAGAAGCTCATTTCCTTTGAGCTGGAACTTGTTCGCCCAAAGCAAATCGACAGGATCCAATCGTTTAGTTTCCCTATGTTGGAATCCATTTTCTGTGGCTCCAAAAGGTGATCACCTTGCATTTTCGGGTCCCTAAGCAACTGAGTGAACAAGCATCGTATTGAACACTCTTCAGCCGAGCGAGCTTGTTGCGCGAGGATTTTTTGATTCACTGGGCCTGCGTATCTGCAGTCAGACTCGTGACTGCAGTGGCAGGAAGCAGATGCCAAGGACGAGGCAGAGGAGCACTTGCGATTGGTCCAGGACTGATCCAAGAGCCGCGCGACTGGTATGTACGTTCACCCAGTAGACAGGTCACCAGCAAGTCTCCTGTTTGTGAAGGGGTGGCTTTTCGCCCTTGGTTCCCTTTTCAAGAGAATGGAATCACTGGGTCATGTTTTGGAAGATCTTAGTGGAGCTTCGAGCCACCCCTGCGCAGATGAGAGTTTTTTTTGCTGCGAATGGGGGGGGGAAGGGTTTGCGTCGCTTCCGCAAGGCGAGTCCAAGTCTTGCCTGGGCCCCCCAGCAATTGGTGCCCTGTTGAACCCCCTTTTTTGGTTGGACTAAAATAGACTACAAAAAACAAGTTGGTACCCGTATTCTCACTGGAGGACCTAGCTTCTGGACGGATTCAGATGTTGCCTACACGTTGACTTCGAGACGAGAAGTTATTTTCTTCGGAGGCATGCGGCAAAGATCGCCACATCCGGGACGGAGGCTCACAGAGTTGCATCTTCAAGTCGATTGACATCTTGTCCATGAATGTTGATGGGGCTGCAGGGGAACCCCCTACAATGGGTGGTGTACCTTGGTTTCCCTTCAAAACCATCCAAAAAGGGTCTCCTTTTCTTTAGTGCATTTTGCTTGGATGTTAGGACTTCACCTGGTTGCCAACTAATGGGTTTTCCAATAAACCACCAAAAATTAAACTTTTAGCAGGGGACCAGAAAGCAACAGAGTCTTGTCCATGAATGCTGATATGGCTGCAGGGCGATATTCCAAGTGTGACCCATGTGCCAGTCATACATTGTTCATGATTACACCTTGGGTGAACTATGAGCAGTGCGAAGTTCGAAGACGCCAACAACAGGAAATTTAACAAGAAACCCCCGGCTTTGGTGGATATTTGTTTGGCTTCTCCCCGCCCCCTTAAAAATGGAGTTGGGCAAGGGGGGGGGACCCCTGCGAATTCCATTGGTTCCACTTCCCCTTTAGTCTAGGGATTCCAACCATTCTTTTCAGCCATCGTTCTCTTCAAAAAACGAGCCATTTCCCCCTGTTTTGGTGGTTTTCTAGAAATATGTTCGGACTTTTGGAAAGAATGGAAAAGGAAGCTAGCCCGAGATTTTCCGGATCGAAAATGCCATCCACCCCCCTCCCCCTAGGGCTTCGGGCTTCACGGCCTCTAGGAGCAATGCGAGAGGCACCTCCGAGCCGTCCGGGAGCAGTCAGCGAAGATCAAAGAGGCGGGCTTGGTGCCGCGTTTTTTTGCTTTGCTTCCCTAAAAAAGCCCAAAAGACGGTGTGTCCTGTTTTGAGGCCACCCGTTTCGGAAATGGAGCGATTTCCACTGCAAGGCTCTCACAATCCAGAACCGGGAACACCCTCAAAGAGTGGACAAGCATCGCTGTGTCCTTTTTTGCGGGTGCCCTTTGTGGCGTTGGTTTCAAGGGGAGCAAAACGGCAAGCCGCAGATTTGTCTTGTGGCGGTCTGGGCGCGAGACTCGCGCGGGGTTTCCCCATGGCGAAGTGGACGGTGACTTGATTTCTTCAGACCCAATCTTCAGCATGCCAAAAGTTTGTCCAGGGCAGGTGGAATCGGTTTCCTTCTTGTGGTTTCCCTTTTTTTCTTGTTTTTTTTTAGAAGCCACAAATCAACTATCACAAAGGTCACATGGTGCATCTTATGGTCACGTGGTGCATTTTATGGTCAACTGTTAACTATCACAAAGGTCACATGGTGCATTTGATGGTCACAAGGGTCACCTTGGGTCTTTGTCACTGGTCACTGGTCACAGGTCACAAAGGTCTTTTGGTGACTAGGTCATTTTATTACAAGCATCAGCCATTTTGTTGACGGGCGCCTTTGGAGGGGAGCCTCCAGTAGCTGCCATGGGCGCCTCATGGCCGGAGCCAGGCGGTGGCCGCAAACCTTCCGCTCGCGGAGAAGCGCACCGTGGCGGCCAAGGAGCGGGGAGCGAAGAAAGACGAGAAGGGCCCCAGGTGCACCGCCCGTTTTAGTCACATGGATTCACAATCTGAGATGTTCCAATCAAGTTCCATGTAATCCAAATGGCCACGGTTCAAAACCAATGGTCTCATCTTGGGATAGGTGCATCACCCATTTTAGAGCCTATTTTAGAACCTAGTTTAGAGGGGATTGGGATGTTCACTGGGGGTACGATTTGGATTTTGACCCATGGCCACATTGAGCTCTCGTGCACCCTCAAGTCCTTTGACGTGCAACTGCCTAGCAAGGTGAAAGCTGTGGTGTGCCGACGCGCCGCAGATGGTGCAAGCGGGCCACATTGACCAGCCGCTTGTTTCCTTGGATCCTGAATGCAAACGAGACTGCGCTGATGGGATTCCGCGCGTGCTTCCGGAAGGGCAGACGGGGCACGACAGGAAACGGGCCGCACTTGACATGTCTATCCTGACACCTGTTAACATGGAACCTACCAGAGAAACTCTTTGATACTGTTTGAGGCGCCTCTAGTGAAGTTCCATGGTAATGCGGGAGAGTGGCGCAATGAAGCAATTGCCCTGCATGTTCCCATTGCGTGTCTTTGAGTTTTATCCTTACGCCAACAAGACCCACATATTCCTCAAAGACAGCACTGTTTGATCAGTAGGGCGTTGGTTGGCAAATAGAGCTGGGAGACCCCCCTAAGGTAGCGAGGGGGGGGGGGCAGTGGTGTTTCAGAGCGGACGTACAATAGAAAAAAGAAGGTGGCTCTTACTTCCTGAGTTCCGTTTCTTTAAACCTGTCCTAAGTTCCCAAAGCTAGGTGCCCCTTTCTCACCCCTGTTTTGGGTTGGGTGGGTTCCCCTGCTAAAATAGACCACAGAAAAAAGTTGGTACCCGTATTGGAGGACCTAGCATAAAGATGTTACTCTTACTTCCTGAGTTATTTTTCTTGAACCATTTGTTGGGTTCTGGACCAATTTGGTGGCAAATGAAAAGTTTGGATACTTTTTCTGGCCGATCCACTCAGGAAGTGAGTGCCAGTGCAAGCCTATGGCTTCTTCGAAGGCAATCCTGACTTCATTCCAAAAAATCCCTGGCTCATTTCCTACTGCCGCAAGATAACAGTGGCTCTTACAAGAAACCCACGTTTTTCTAGAATGACCCGAAGTGGTATCTAAAGATGCAACTGAGACATGTCGCATGGCTCGTTGGCCAGTGAGTGGTTCTAATGTACCTTGGACCGAAAAAGCAAAAGAACTGGCTCTTTACTACTTTGTTTGCATTGACCGCACATTTGCGGAGAGTAATCTTTATCTCTCCCAAAGATCTCACCAAAACGGAATGGGTATGTTTTTGGCATTGGGAACCAAGTAGTATAAATTCACCCCGAAAAAGTACGCAAACCGTATCGGCTGTAGTTCTCCCACAAGAGGACATGGTTGGTTCACCAAATATATTGCAAGTAAGCGGACTAGAAAGCCCCTGTATTTGTTTGCAATACTTGGGGCATCCATAGCTGTTTGGGTAGGCCTTGTTTTGAGGGTACTTGTTTTTTGCTGGGGTGGGGGGGGGGGGGGGTGAAGGGAAACCAACAGGAAAACCGTTTTTATTTTGGGGGGATGCGATGAAAAAAGATCACACCCATTTCCCCCAAAACCTAAAAACCCACCTGTTCTTGCCTGTTGTTTCCCCAAAAAGCTTAAAAACACCACATTTTGTGTGTGTGTGTGTTTCGTGCCTGTTTTGGTGTTTTGTGTTTTTGTTGCTTTTGTGGTTGTGTTTTGCTTGTGTTTCTCGTATTTTTTGCGAGGAGGCCACAGCCCGGCGCCGGCTGGATGCGCGCCAGCGCCTGGACGTCGAGCGCCGGGGACTCCGGCGAAGGTCCGGGGAGTGGGATCCTTGTGACAGCCGCCAGAGCCGGCCAGGGTCAGAACTTGGTGGCTAGCCATCCGGTTCCTTAGATCCGGCGCCTTAGGCCAGAGAAGTGTCTTTTTTTTGGAGGCTCGCCCCCCCCCCTTCTTTTGTGGGCAAACCAAAAGGAAAGTCGCCAGTTTGGGGGTCCCCTAAAAATATGGCACACACCTTTCGAAAAATGAGAGAATGCCATTTTTTTGGCCTCTACGGGGTTGTCAAGGTTCGCCTCTTTCATGACGGGCAGTTCCGACAAAAAGGCCCCCCCAACAAAGAAAATGCCGAAAGTTGTCTAGGTCCCCCAGTAGTGCCCTTTCTCACCCCTTTTTTGGTTGGGAGGGTTCCCCTACTAAAATAGACTACAGAACAAAGTTGGTACCCTTATTCTTACCTCTCTACTCAAAAACCTAGTTGTGCTGGTTTTGCTGCTTGTCACCTAGGAATGCTGGAAATAAATTCGCCTGGGGTTGGCCATGAGGCTGGGCGCTTCTTTTGTGAGAAGCCAAACGGGCGGCTCGTCTTGTTTGGGAGTTGGTCTAGGTCCCCCAGTGCCCTTCTTACCAACTTTTTCTGGTTGGGAGGGTTCCCCTACTGAAATAGACAAAACTGAAAAAAAAAAGTTGGTTTACCCTTATTCTAACCTCTACTGGAAAAACCGTGGTTCTTGTTTTCCCCTGTTTTTGCAAGGGAAGCCGGTATTGCAAACCACCCATGTTGGGCCGCGAGTCCAAGTGCCAGTGTCCTTGGTCTCGATCCAAGCCGACTGCGCACTCACGCGGTATTCGGTCCACGCAAATTCGGCGAAAACACAACATCCGGAGAAAAAAAGAAAAAAAAACGATCCGATCGATTTAAGAGGCACCAAATCATGTGGAGTGTGTTGCCTAAATGGAATTTGGGGCTGGAGCTAGGGTAGATGGCAACCGCTGTTCCTTTGGTGTCCCTTTGCCGAAAGGGGCAAAACCTATACCTGATTAGGTCCTGTGTGTTGTTCTTTGGTGTTGGTCTGGTGTGTGAAGATGGGCTTGGCTTCTCTGAGGTACAACTGCTGGGATCCACACGACTGCTATGCCGGGTCCTTGGCAATTTGCATTGCTTGCTTGCTTGCTTGCTTGCTTGCTTGTTTGCTTGTTTGCTTCCTTGCTTGCTATCTTTTTTGTTTTGCGTGTTTGTGTGCTCTTGCGTGTCTTGGTTTTGTGTTGTGCTGTTTGGTTGTTTGTTTGGTTAGTTGGTTTGGTGTTGCTTTGGCCTGTCTTGCCTTGTGTGATTGATTGGTTGTTTGCCAGTTTGTTGGTTGGTTAGTTGTCGTTTGCATGTATGTTTGTTTGTTTGTTGTGTGCTGTTTCGTTTCGTTATTTTGTGTGCCGTGGCAGCTGCGACTCTTCGTTGGAGCCTGATGCTGCACTCAGGTCATATGCAAGGATGGGCAAGAATGAGTCCCATTAACATGTATTGATACATGGCATTAGATGAACAGGTGCCAAGCCTGGTACGAAAGAACTACATGCCAGTCACAACGCCTCAGCTTGTCGACATGGACTGTTGCAGCATCCACGGGAGGCCTGGGCGCAATTATGTAAAGAGCTGCCGTTGGCATGTTTGCAACAATTATTTCAATTTGGTGGCGACTCAGGGGATTCTACCATTTGGGGGACGTTGATATACCATGGGACGACAAAGGTACACACACACACAAGTGACACACGTTTTATGATAGTACTTAGGTGTGACCCACTTTTAGGTGTATATGAATATATATATATATATGTATTATTACACTCTAGGTGTGTCACTGTTTAATGAGAGGTGTGACACATGTTGTGCCTAAGACACACCACTCCTTCGCCGCTCGTCTCCCGCCTGTCGTTTCCAGGGAGGAGGACTGCTGCGCTATGGTGCGGCGAGTCGAGCGACGCGAGGAGGAGACCAAGAGGCCGAGACCCGAGACCGGAGGTCGGCCCCCCCCAAATGGCGCAGCGAGATCTTTTCTTTGAGGTCAAATTGCTGTCGTGGTTTTTTTTTCTGGCCGCCCCGCCAATATAAGCTGGCCCACCGGGGTGCAACGGGCGATACGAGATGCGACCGGGAAACTCATGCCCAGGTCTTCTTTGGTGCATGTTGCCAAGGGATGTTAGGACTTGAACTTTTTGCCAACTAGTGGGTTTTCCATTAAACTACCAAAAGTTGAACTTTTAGCAGGGGAGCAGAAAGCGACCGAGTCTTGTCTGGTTCATCTCCGTTTGCACTGGGAGCAGCCTGTGGTTTGCCAACCTCGGCCCATCTCCAGCACTTGGGCGCAGCCAACTGTCGAAATGTCTTCCCGGAGTGATCCCCTCGAGACTTGACTGCTATTGGGCAACGGATCTTTAGACTCTCACTTTTCGGTTGAAATAAAGCTGTTTTGCACCGAACCCCCCAAAAAGTGGTTCACTTTTTGCAGGGGGGTCGTTGCAGCAACCGAGGAGATCGGTCCCTCGTTTCTTTTCCCCAGTTCCATAGTGCTCAGGCGAGTCTTGTCGCCGCTCTGCATGACAAACAGCTTAGTTAAAACAAAAAAAAAGGGGGTGCTCAGAATAGGGGACCAGCCTCAAAGAAAAACCAGAACCAAACCATTCATTTTTAGGGGGGCTGTTTTGGAACACCCAGATGCTTTGTCAGACTCCCTTGGTGTGTGCTTCGCGCTTTTGGGGTGCCCAGAACAAGGGTTGGCATAGGGTGTGTTGTGATGTGGCCTCCAGGAGCTCGGTAGGAACAAAGGTACTAGGTCCCCCAGCTAGGTGCCCGTTCTCACCCCGTTTTTTGGGCGAGGGTTCCCTACTGGACTAGACCAGAAAAAGAATGGTACCCTTATTCTAACCTCTCTACTGGAGGACCTAGAATTGAATCCAGAAACAAATCCTCCCAAAAAAATCAAAAACGAATCCCAAAATCCAAAAAAACCCAAAATCCAAAAATCCAAAAATCTAACACATCCCAAAAAGCCGCGCGTCTTTTGCGCTTGCCTCCGGCTTTTTTGGTTTTGACGGAGGCACCTGGAAGGCTTCAGCCGGGGACCGGTGGAGAACAT